AGCATGCTGGAAACACTAGGCTGGTCACCATTGAAGAAACGACGACGACAATCCGGGCTCTCCATGATGTACAAGATAAATAATGGGCTGGTCAACTGTTCCAGTATTAAACAGAAACTCGTCCCTCTCCCCCATAGACAGCGACGAGGCCATGGCAGGCAATTCAGGCTCATACCAGCAAGAAGCCAGCATAGGAGCTGCTCATTCTTGCCCAAGACAATCAGGGACTGGAACAATCTTTCAAAAGGAACGGTTGAGGTGACATTTGTGTCTATTGCCTCAAGCCTTCAAACCCCTAGTGCATGATTACCTCCCAAAGTGGCACTGGAAATCAGTGAAATTTCCTCATCAACACCAGAAACAGAAACATTGCAAATCCCATCTGCATGCATAGGAGCCAAACTGATCAATAAATTGATCGTGGGCCCTTAAGATATAGAAGAAGAGATATCAGGAAAAACAGTCAGTGTCCGCATGTATGACTCCCAGTGCCAAGGAAAAAGTTTAAAATTGGTGGTTTTGTTCTGACTAAGCCAAGCTCTCTAGGGGAATAGTTGAAAGTAATTCATTATGAATAAAATTTTCATTATTTGGAATACCCATTTAATTCATAAAGTACTGTGTGATTAAATCTTTTAACTTAAACAATACACATAAATAATCTTAAATAAAGGATTTAATTCTAATAATTAAATTTATATGATTACTTTTCTAAAATTCAAATGAAAACAATAAATGTATCTAAATCATCTTCATTACGAGATTATTTTTTTTTTTAATTATCTACGAAAATGGCTTAAACTAAAAAAGAAAATAAGAAAGAAAAAAATCTACCCATCCTAAGAAAAATTAACAAAGCAAAAATAAAAAAACAACTAAAAAGAATACAACTATGAATCTATGAAATAACAAGGAGAAAAAACAATTTTAAAAAAATAATTACCATACAATTATTGTTATCACACCCAGCTCCAAAGCTTTTTAATCTGTACGGAGCCACTACGGGTGCGAATAGTGATTAGTAACTATAGGTACTTTGGTACCTATAGATTGCAGTCTTTTTAAATACTATAAGAATTTATTTTTTTTATTTGCTGAAAATGAATATGTACAAAAACAGTCCCGGATTAACCTAAACGCAACTGGTGAACTCGAGCCGCCAAGTTTTATTCTGGGCCTACTACTACAAAAAATTATTAATTAAAGACAAAAAGGTGTCATGCCCCTTAAAATAAAATGTAAATAAATTATGTGAAAGTGAAGTTATTGACTCTAACATGGACGTTGACTGTTAAGCAATGATGACTTTATTTCTGAATGTGAAAACTTGACAACCAATTGACGTGCTGAAATGAGTGGTGTTGAAGTTATGAAAGATTATTGTGCGCTGTCTCAGTAGGCCTAGATCTATAGAGTAAAAAATTATGTTGTTTTATGTGGCTGTTGTCACTGTTGTGAGGAAGGCAGTGGATGAAGATTGAGATGTGGAAGTAGAATTTTTTTAGAGAAAGTGACAGTCACATTTATAAGACCACACGTAGAAAACATTGCCTGTGTGCCTATTAAAGAATTTAAAGGCACAAAATAAGCAAAATTACAACTTAAAAGAGAATGAGATAGCTAGGAATAAAACTAAAGATGTAAAGAAAACCTGAGTTCTTTAAATATTAAATAAATTTGTTTTGTTTTTTTGTTTGTTTTTTTTGCTCAAATTACAATTGGTCTACATCGTTATGTTCAATAAATTTCATAAAATCTAAAACGGTATTGCTTACTATCTTATTACATTACATGTTGTATCGTGCATTACAACACAACAGAGAGAAAATTTATTAGAAAATAGGTAAAGATGTTTTGTTTTTTGTTTTTTTGTTTTTTTTTTTGTTTTTTTGTAACCACTTTCTAGTTAGCTGACCACTTCTCCCAACATGGTGGTCCATTTCTCCCCTAGCTATGTCCATTTTTCCTCAACTGACCTAAATAGTCATCAGTTACTTTTGAACTGTACAAAAACTATAATATATACAATAATTTATGTACTTTAAATACACATTTAGTTTATAAGTGCACATTTTGATTTGGGCTGACTATTAATAAGCCACATTGTATGGTTATAACTTTCTATTTGTTAACACCAGCTGCATTCTTTGACTGGTGTTCATTCGGTGGCCCATTTCTCCCGACTCTCCCCTAGACATTTCTATAAAACATTTTTGTTTACTCTGGTCAAACTTGTAAATATTTGCAAAAGGTATTTATTATACTATTATACTTTTTTCCCATTGCGTTCAATGTGTAAAATAATGTCAGCAGTGCTTTGTGATAGAAATCTTTTTTGGAAGTTTAAGTTTTAAACAAAATAAATTATAATTATTTAGCAATTAAGTTTAAGTAGTTTACTCCAAAAATAATTTCAATGCAATATAAAACCACATCTCTATATTATATAGTAATATTTGAAAAAATATTTGAACTGGAGATTAGATAACTAGGTCAAGCTGAGCAGACTTTTCTAGGCCGCCTGCCACTTTTCGATTTGGCTGCGACTATTCGCACCCGGGTACCAGAAGTGAGAGGTTGGGATTAAAAAACCATTTAAAATATTATTATTATTGTTAGGTTTGTACGACAAAATGAGGTATCAAATGAAAGATAATTTAATGGACTATATGTTTTTAAACTTAACTCTTCAGTTTAACTTTAACTAAAATAAATTACCACGAATGACATCCGAATAGCAGTTAGTCAAAATGGACCTGCGTGAAGATTCAGTTTAAAGCGCCCCCCACCCTTCTTTTTTTCAACTCTCAAACCCATTATTTTCATCAAAGCACATTTTGGCGTCCCTTAGTCTGGCCTCCAGAGGACATCTGTTCCCCAACCCCCTTAGCTACTCCTCTGGGTGGAGGTAGAGATGTACCTGATTGTCAGTATAGTTAATTTTGGCGCTTCCCACTAGAAGTCTGAAATGGCCCCTCCCAAATTGTCTGAACGAGACACCAAATTTAGGTATGCGCCAAAATGTATTCCTGTATTTTAAATTAATCAAAAATTTTCTATGCAGACGCCCGTCTCTGCTTTTGCTCGAAAATTTTCGGCGCCCTCATTTGTGCTCCACCCTTCCCTCAAGCCGATCAAAATTTCAGCAGGGGGTTGAATCTAGGCTTTCGTCAAATGATTGCCTTGGGGCACGCCACAACCGGGGTGAATTCAGATTATTTTGCAAAATAAATCACTGGACACCATCAGTGTCAGAGAAATTTTTAAATTTTTTTTCTGAGAATGTCTGCTTCAGTTGTTAATATAAACAGTAAGTCGAGTCTTTCTTGAACTTGAACCATAACTGATCTATTATTTGTTGTTTTTTTTAAACACGTTTCACGTGTGAGAAAAATCCCTCTGGTGTGCAGTTGGTGACCATTCATTTTAAAAATTATCCTTGCGGCCATTTCAACATTTGGAAAGACTCTCTAGTTCGTCTTCTGTAATTGTGTTGTAAAGTTCCATGCGGGTTAAACAGTTAAGATGTTGTAACTAGTCCTGTCCTGAACAGATGGGACTTGAGGAGGCTATTGGAGGTGTCAAGAGACTGCGCATTTATGACCATCAAGAAACAGAAAATTAGGATCAATTTGCACTACCGGTACCGAAATTTTATCAATTTTATATACAAATCTTCTCTCGTTTTTTTTTTCTCAACTCTGTGTCCCATTTGATCTTGGTGCCCTGCTTAGTCTGCTTAATAATATGGCATATTAATACGGCCCCGTATAACAGCCAAAAATCAAAGATCCACACTTTTTTTTTTTTGGCTGCCTTTTGAATTTCTCGAGTAACCCTAACAATATTTAATTTAATATTGGGGGAAGAAAATACAGATATTATTATTGCTAAATATTTTTATTATATTATATAGCTCGAGGGAGGGGAATGTCTGTTAGAGAAAAAAGGAAGCATATTTATATCATATTATAATATTAATATAAATAATTCGCACGCAATGAAGTCCAATTATTAGATTTATCAAAATGAGTTCATTTTTTAAACCATTCATTTCAGATTCAGTAAGTACCGGTGCTGTGGTGTATAATGATCAAGCTTAGGGTGGGAGTTACACATAAACCTACTAGCACACCCTCTAGAATGAAACGACACTTAAGCTGACCGCCAGCCTAACGATCAAAAGTGAATTTGAAGAATTAAAATCTAAAATAAATATTATACCTACAAATTTTATTTTAAAAAATAATCCCAGGTTTTGATTTGCTGAAAAATGTGAAGAATTACTGAGATATTAATATTAATATTAGCGAAATGTAATTGTTATCAAATAATATCATTATAATCAACATAAACAATTTTTTCATCCTTAGATTTTTGTATCACCGTTACCGTACTAATAACTAATATTCCCTAATTAAAGACCAAAACTGACAGAATGCACCAAGTCCACGGTCTAAAGGGGAGGTGAGGGTTGGCTTCCACCACTCAGGGGGAGGAGATAGACGCCCCTGGAGTTATAACCTACCCGGGACCAGGAATCGGGAAGTAAATAAATAAAAATAGGAAAGTGGGAGTAAATGGTGCAAAACCAAACGTAAGCTACCGGTACATGAAACTGTGAAGTTCTAGGCAAAAATCATGTATTTGTTGCAGATTGTAATTATTTTTTTATAATGAGATGATCATCTTTAGGAATGATCATGAAACTTCCGTTTGCAAGTAATATTTACTTTCACTCACATAGTTACTGCAATATTAGTCCTCTGTTCTAGGTTCGGTGGCATGATTTGGGGGGTGTCCTCCACCCTGAGAGGTTTATTATTTTCATATAAAGTAAAGGGGCAGAGTTTTGTAGTTTTTGCTCCTCAAAACAAATATTGTCACATAGATTGTCATATTATTTAACAGTAATACAGTATTTTAGCCATTACATTTTTAATTCACTACAATTTATTTGGCATATTTATCACTTTTCAGAGACATTACTTTTTGTTTAGTGGACATAAGAGCAGGATATATGGATAATCTATTTTTTAAATATAGGGGGGGGGGGGAGAGGAGGAGTATCATCAATAAGTCGCATGGCTTCACTGTCTGTTGGTATTGGTATATCCAGTAATAAATTTTTCCCTTTTATTTTGACAGACGTTATTAAATTATTTCACCTCACACTTACAATTTAAGGCAAGGTCTGCTTGACAAGATATTTACTCAAACTTCCTAATCCACTGACTTTCAAAATGTAAATATATACCTTATACTATACATATATTTATTTTGTGTTATTTTACAAATTTAATATACCAGTAGAGCAACCTTTTTTTCCATTATACACATTTTTAGCACAACCAAGGATAAACAAGGCAATAGTTAAGCTTTTCTTAGAATGTCTCCTTGTGTCACCTTTAAAACTCTTACCACTAAACAAAGAACAGAATCATTTTGCACGCTCTTTCAGTTATTTCTTAGAATCATATGTGAAATATAATACTAATACCGGTACTAGTAATACCCAAAAATTGTACATTTTATAATAGAATTTCAAATAATTCTTTTGTTGTTTTACACAAAGCTTTTTTAAATTTTAAAACACCTGTAAATGTAGTGTAAAATAACCATTGAAATTGTCAACTTTAGTTTACACCATAATATTTAGAGACCTCAATAGTTCATATAGTGCTACCTGGTACACAACAACGATGTAAAATATGGTAGATAAGTTTTTTCGTATTTTATTTGGATTTTTTAAAACTGATTTTAACACTAAATATGACACCATATTCCATCTTAACAAAGTGCTGATTCTCGCTCTTCCCTTGATCTGATGTCCTCACTTGTAAGCATCAATCATGAACAGTTTACACACAAAAAAAAATGCATCTGGAACAGAAAATCAGACAAACTTGTTAACTTTATTAACCTTATGAAAAGACATGGTTAGAATTTGTAATTTAAAAAAACATAACCTATACTAAAAATGAAATTGTATGCATCAGCGACAAAGTAAAAGTATTTGTGTTCATTTATATAAGCATGATTCTGAAATGTGGATGGCAGTAAATATGATAAATGCATTTCTATTTTTAAATTTAATGTTAAAAATTTGCACACAATAAAATTGGTTTCAATAAAATTTTTAAAGACTTTTCAGAATCCATAAATGACATTGCCATGATATTTTGGTATATTTTTTACCTTGTCATCACTCACATATCTTCACAAATTTATGTCCCCACCCCCAACCAAAGTGTGACATCATTTATGGATGGCTTCATATTTGTCCATTAACTTATTTCTTTTATTGAGCAGGCAACCCTAGAAGTTAGTGACCAAAATTTATTTATAATGGGATAACACAAGTACAGTTACTGGAAAATTTGATCAAAAGAAATTTCGTTGACAGAAAATTTACTATACTATATAGTAAAACAAAATAATGCTTTCAAAAAGAAATTTGACACAAAACTTAAACGTTTGAACAGAAAAAAAGATTGGACCAAATTTCTGTTCGATCAATTTTCCGCCGACGAAATTTCTTTCGATCAAATTTCCGGATACACACAAGTTCACCAGACATTAACTCATTCCCTCCGGCAGTGCTACTTCCGTACTTAACTCATTCCCTCCTGCAGTGCTACTTCCATACTTAAAATTTATTGTTCTGAGAAAAGGGAAGCAACTCAGTTTTGAAATTGATTTACATTTTTTAAATATTTTTTTAAGCATTAAAAAATAAATAAGGTTGAATGAAAATATAACATTAGCGGGGGAAAAATAATGAAAAATGGCCAAAAAAAAGATTTTTGGCACCTCGAACGAACACATGCTAGATGTAGATTAGCCATACTTAAGCACACATAGTTTTAAAGTGAAACAAGATAAAAACTTCCGGTTTCTAAATTAAAATCACGCAGAAATCACGCCTTAGCCGGAAGTCTCGAGGGACCCGAGATTTCCTTGCTATTTTTAACTAAAAATAAGAGAGGTGTGTCGCTATGCGCCGGGACACATTTGGACGCATCAGGAGAAAACCCCCAAAGGACCCATTTAGTAGCAACCGTCGGGAATGAGTTAACAACAAACAATGCGTCATTAAAAAAATAATAATGAAAATCAATAAAATAGAATCTTACCTGGCATAAATAAATGCAGCTTTTAGTTTATGTTTATCCTATGAAGTTGATGACGACCAAGTGAAGGATAACATGTGCAAAGATAAAATCTGCAAAGGATCTCTCTGGGCTGATGCCTGAAAACTCTAATTTATTCTGAGGATTGCTCTGCAACCTCAAACATACTGAGGAGAATAAGATCAAGATAGTTTTTAAACCAATAAGTGACTAATCCAGAGATATAATGATGGATTTTAATTATGGTACATAGGCTAGATTAAATGCTAATCATTATATATGGTTGTTATAATGATAATGAGTCAATGATAATTAATGAAAATTGGATCATGTATCATTTCTATGAGTATGGTAATAATAATGATGCAAAGGTCTACAAAATGTGAACTAATTAACCCAAATCTGATGATAAATGCAATAAATGTTAATATTACACTAAATAATTTAAGGGGAAAGACTGAGGCAGCAAACGTGCATCAACTCATCAAGTCATTAATTCCTTATAATTTTACAAGCAGACCTAGGCCTACTCAGTTAAATTTGTATTTTAAAGTCATAAATGAGAGATCCTTAATAAGGTATATTTTAGCGCTTTAACTTTAAATTATAAAATTATCGCCACTTCACTTTCAGAGATGCCTATCAAATACATTTAATATGTATCGCCTAAAGGATTAACAAAATGAAAGAGAATTGTAAATAAGTAGTAGTAGTAGGCTAATTTTATTGGTGGGATGAGTTGAGACCTAGGCCAAGGAATAATTGGGTTTCAAAGGGCGCAATTGTCTTAGAGGCAATGTGCATGGTCAATAATTCGACACTTTCTGTTTCTGCCCTTTTTATTATTATTGTTATTATAATTGAAAAATCTATAATTATAAAAGTTTACGGGTCGTGGCAACCAAGATGGCAGCCGTGCGATACATTATGGCACCAATTCTCGGCATTAACCAAATTTAAATATCATGGATTTTATAGAATTTAGGTGACAATTTTTAGCTTTATGAGAGGTCTTATAGAGTGTCAGAGATTCAGGGCTAAATCTGAGGACGGCTGCCACAGCGTCTTTTGTGTGTTTATTATAGTTGCAGTGAATTAGGGTTTAGGTTAGGTTGAGGGATCGATTTAGGGTTCAGGTTAGGCATAGGGATCGAGTTAGGGTTCAGGTTACAGGTTAGGCATAGGGATCGATTTAGGGTTCAGGTTAGGCATAGGGATCGATTTAGGGTTCAGGTTAGGCATAGGGATCGATTTAGGGTTCAGGTTAGGCGCGGCATAGCCATCGATTTAGGGATACATTCGTGAAATTCCATAAAACAGTGGCAGTCGTCCCCGTAAATTACCAGATTCAGAATCATTATTTAATTATATACTTTCTGTATGTATGAAATGTATGTAAAATAACCCTACCGTTTTCCTATAGGCCTTTTGGAATTATAGTAAATAGAGAGGTACACTGCTGCGGTGTATGACTGTCTAATTATAAATTTATTATTTCTAGTCTAATATTATGAGCAGCCACTGCCAAAACATGAGAAAACCAAATTTTGTATCTTATATAAGAGCCGTTGGTTAATATTACAAATTGAATGTCAAATTACCTGCCAAAATAAAAGATCCTACTGTAGAAATAAATCCTGAAAGAAATGAGTTGAATGGGAATGTTCCGACTAGACAGCAATAAGCAAATTGAACGATGCCGGTGATCAATACATAAACAAGGTATGCATCAATAATTTTCAACTTCTTGGGTGTACTTTGCATATATTCATCGTAAAACTTAACAATAACGTTTGCTAATTTTTCAGGCATTGTGCTAACGGGTTGAAAGCAACTGTTTTAAAGCAATATTTAGAATGAAAAATTAGAAAGACGTGGCACAACACTAACTGTTGTTGTTTCACGCGGAAGTGGCTGAATTTAGTAGCGATAATAAATTTCCATCTTGAAGCCAAATAGTATTTGTGCCTCGGAACAAAATTTAAATTCTGACAAAACTTTTCTTCAACGGTGAAACTTTCTCTCGTGAGGTAGCTCATAAGAATTATTTCATTTTAAAACATCAGTTTTATAATTGATTTATATTATTAAACTGAAGCGATTTTCATGATGATTTAGAAGTTGATATTTTGATACTCTATTATAAGTAATTGAAATTAATAAACATTTAGAGATATGTTTAAGCTGTGTTAGAACTAAAACAGATGTATGAACAAATATATATAACAGCATATGATATGAATATAAATCTATGACGCAAGAGCAAACATGAAGATCACAGACTGGGATGGAGGCATTTCGAAGGGACCGTCAATATTGTAAATCAGCCTTGTAGGCCTAATGCTGTAGGCATCAGGCTGCATAACTCAAAATGTAAGGTGGGACGTAATACTTCATGAAAAACTTGTGCGGGCCACCAAAAAGAAAATAGAACAGAACTTGTGCGGGCCAAAATAAAATAGGACGGGGGGGGGGAAGCTATTTAAACAATAAGAAGAATAAAGAATACTTCGCGGGCCGCAAAGTTGGTGCTGGCGGCCCGTGGGCCGTATTTTGTGCAGGCCTGCTGTAAATGATTGGACATTTTTGCCCTATCCGTTTCACAGNACCTGAGGGATACAACTGGTCCCATGGTGACAGGCTGACCTGCTTACACCTATTTTAAAAACTAATCATTTAATAATAGTCATTAGTGATAATAACCAATACACATTTGTAAACATTGTTTAAATACTAGACCCACAAGGTTTGAATCACTGAAATTGTGTCCATTCAAAGGACCACTTCAGCTCTGTAGTCTCAATGTATACTAATGTATACTTCTGTTTTTAAGTAAGGTATAGGTTTGAATCTAGATACCAAATATATATATATATATATATATATATATAGCCTATATATATAGCGTATGGGGCAAATAAATAGTAAGCGGGACTAGTGTAATAAGTATGAAGCCATTTCCGTTATTTCAATAATAAGAATCCAATTGAGACGGAAATTAATGTTTGAATCAGTAGTTGATATCTCTTGTTGTTAACGGTGCTAGCGATATACTCCAATGGTTATAGAATGTCAATGAGGGGGTGTAAGATATATGCCCAAACTTAATTTATTGTATCGTAAAAAAAAAGTATCATGTTGTAGCTGTGAGACTGTGGTCTGTACTTCAAGCTTATCATAACTTGTCTGAATATTCCCTAGATTTAGCCAGCTGTGTTGTGTCTTTCAAAAAATAATTAATGTTAATAATTAGTAGGACTCAACAATTCTGATTGTTTGATTTTGCATTGAAACACCTTTTTAGTAATAATTTATTTAACTCTGTTTGACAATTCGGTATCCAGTAACCTGAAAACGCTATACCTGGACAGCAAAAGTAATGTCCAAGATTGGCCATGTTAGTGGGTAACCACGTGACGCGCTCCAGCGTACGAAGTCATCACGTGACACCTAACTTCGCCATCTTGGCCGTTCAACGAGTTAGCGCTTTTTTCAATGTAAAAACGTTGGTGGTGACAAGATTTTTCCATCTTTTTTATGCTTGTTTTTAAAACTAAAATTATTTCATAATTGTTCAAAATTTTCGTCACTTCTCATCTTATAGCAATTGCATTACTCAGCAGACACACGTATCGTATTTTAAGCTAAATTTATCTCAGTTCGGAACACGGTCGGCGGGGCACGAGTGGTAGTCTTCACTTAACTTCACTACCTACCCCGCCTCAGTTTTTACCTCTATTATCAGAAAAGGTCAACAAAACACTTCTACCAATTTAAAGATATTTCCTTCTAAGTTTAAAAAAATTAGCATAGTATTGAATGCTCCTTTACTAGGAAAAATGCTTAAGTCTGCCAAGTTAGTTGCTCACTCACAGTCACAGTATGTTTGGCATTCGACATTGACATGCCAAGGGGCAATGGCGAAAATCTAGATAGTTTAATTGGTTAAGCCTTTAGTGGCTGCCAACTTAAGTGGAAGGAAGATATCACTGCAACCATTCTACATTCATTATATGTCACATATCTTATATTTATTTATAATTGAATTAGAATTTCATATTCACAGTCCTATCATTTTAGTAAATGTTTACTAATACAATGAAATCAAAATATAAGGCAAAATTTAACTCTATTACTATTATTGTGCTTAAAGTCAGCCATACTTGCATCATACTGTCATGCCTATGGCAATGACACATGCTAATAATATGCTTTAAGGATTTTATTATTTTATTTTCACAAGTTTTTTTGACAGTCCACAGTCACAGGTACAACAACTACTATTGAAACATAAACTAATAACAACAAATGAAGTTAAGATATTACATCCAATCACCATATCACAGAACCTTATTTGGTATATTCAACATCTCACAAACATGTGGGAATTGAAAAGTAACATATGGCTATGAGCATCAACAAATGTAATGAAGACCAACCAGGAGATAGCCATAAGGGCAGTAATGAAGAAAAGCACACTTCATTTACTTTAGATGAAGACCAGAGTGATGAAAACACAGATAATCTCTTTCAACCAAATGTTATTATTGTACAAAATGCTGAGGACATGGACATTGAGGGCTTAGATCCATCTCTTCTGAAGTGTGTCAGGCAGGTCTTAGATGATGTTGAAAGGAAACGTTTGCTGGCTGGGAACAAAGCTGATGGGGAGGAAGATGAGAAACAAACTATGTACATAATTGACTTAGATACCCTGGGACGAGCTAGTGTTACTACTACTACTACTGAGACTCATTACATGACATCATATACAGACACCAAACCATCATTGTCTCCTGCTTCTCTCAATGATTCAATTTCACCATCTACATCATCTGCTATGATCTTGCCAAAACACTTAGATCCAAAGCTTACCAAGGAAAGCACAGGAGATCAATCGGGGACATCTTTACCCACAGCTTTAGATCTGGAATGCCAAGGACATATTGAAATCTCATTTGTTTCATGTGTGACTGAATTAGATGACCCCATGAATGAATCCCAAGTCGGCTCATCATCATCATCACAAGTCCAACATGTACATAAAACTGATATTGAAGATGATGTCAGCTGTACCTCATCCAACAATCAACTTGGTGAGGATCTTTCAAAAAGTAGTCAGCATGTTTCACTTCATAAACTAGCATCTTCAGAACAAAATGTGAATACTAATATTTCACATTCTGTAAATAGCAATTCATTCTTAGGTTCAAGAATAAAAACTCTTCCATTTGAAGCCTCTCAAATGACTTCATCTGGTGAGCACTTGCTCACTATGGCACAAAAAATTATTGAGGAAAATTCTAACAGTAAAAGACTTTTATCCATAGGAAATATGTCACCCGCTGAGGTCAAAGAAGAAAAAATTGGATCTGACTCTGTCATTACAATGTATCTATCTTCTCCTAGTGAGCTAAAAGAGAAGATCAATAGTTTAAAGACAGATTCCCCTATTATTGTAATGCAAGCAGGGCAAAAGAGCATAAAGGATGTGACTGAGAATGATGCAAGGCAGTCCAGTTATTCCTCGGACAGTGCTAAGTTTGGGGACATTGTTTCAGAGCTGAGCAATGCATCAGAAGGTTTAACAGCAACCCTACCACTATCCTCTGATGTAGTTGTCTATCGTTGTTTGGAGTGTGGTTATTCAAGCCACAATAAACATTACTACAAACAGCATGTGGACTTGGTGCACAATGCAGATAGGCCTTACAAATGCCCCCACTGTGATTATGCAGGAAAGCGTCGACATGCACTCTTAGAACATATGGTAGTTCATTCAAACCAGAGACCTTTCACATGTGACCATTGCAATGCCAGCTTCAGGAAAAAGGTAGATATTTTTTTCTTTACTACACGTATTTACACTATGATTTTCATAGTTGATAGCATAGTTTTATCTTGGAATGTAAGACATAATAATTTGCATCTTCATACAAAATATTGCCATGGTGATGCTTTGTCTTGTTTTTATTCATCTTATTAACCATTTGACCAATTATCTTTATGCTGACAATGGGTTAGGAAAAATGTTCCCTTTAATTTAAACTGCGCGGCCGCGCAGCTATATCACAGACGCCGCGCAGCAGTTTTGAGTAGCCGCGCAGCAAATTTCCATGTTATTGTGTATGTGCTTGTGGGCTGTAACATTTTACACACAAAAAAAATTGATGCTGTAAAACTTTGCACACAACTGTATGATTTTGCACACGAACCAACAAACCTTAGAGGGAATATTGGTTAGGAATTTCCACAATTTTCTGTGTTTTTCTAGTCGTGGCATGGAAGTAGCAAGATAACTTAGTAAGTCCCATGCACTTATCATATTATTATATCTTTTTTTTTCAAAACACTTTTAATTCTTGGGCTATGAAAGTAATATTTTCCATGTTACTTAGTGTACTAAGGTTAGAACCGATAACCCTTAATTTAAGCCCTGCAGGTTCTATCTCATAATAATGTTATATGGAGGCACAAATAGATGGAATATCATAGGGCAGTATATGATAATATAAGACTCTGTGCTGAAAAATACTAACATTGTTTACACAATATTTTAATGCTTATCTCCCTGGGAAAATTAACTTAAATGCCTGGGGGCTAGCTTAGTTCCTTTAGTTCAGGGGTTGGGAACCTTCTTTGAGTGAGGGGCCATTTGTATAAATTATATTGACTAAGAAAAAAATATTTTGGGAGCTGTGTGTCATGAAAAAAACAACAAAGACCTGTATTTATTTATTTATTTAGGCATTTTTATATAGCGCTTACCTTACAGGCTGCTGACCATCGTTCTAGTCCATTTAAGGCACACCACTGCTTAAAATTTAAAAATATTATCTTTAAAAAAGATAGTTCCAAATTCATTGAATTTATGAACCTAATATAATTAAAGAAATTGCTCTGTTCCGGATTGCTTTGTCATTTAAAATGAAATTTGGGCAACTAAGAATGTCATGCACATCTTCTTTTTCCACTGATGATAAGAATATGCTATCAAATGACGTGGGATCCATTTTTTTAACTTTTATTTAACTTGCTATGAACAATATCTCTCTGTTTCAACCTCTTCAAAGAAAAGAGAAAAAAAAAGTGATGTGAATGACAACACCTCTCTGTTCAGAGGTACTGACTGCCCAGATGTACAAAGGGCTGTCTCATCTATAGCATTTCTGCATACCTCTGAAATATGGCCTCTCTTATCTGTGTCTGAATGGGCCCGTTAACGAAAGTACTTCTGCCTGTGTGGTACTGGCTCTCCCTGTATGTAACAGACCCATCTAGTGCGACCAAAGCGGTAGAACTGAACCCTTGGGAGGAGTCTGGCCGCGCGCCCCCCTACCCCACCCCCAAGAGCAAAGTGTAAAATGTGTCATGTTACACAAACCCATACCCTACGCTCCTTTGAGTAGGTGTCTTCTTCTAGTCTTTACCTTCCGTCTATTTATCCTTCCCCTGTTGTCGACCCAGAAGTTGGATCCTCATGAATGTATACGATTGACCAGTTGTGATGATGTGAAACATACTGCATTATATAATTGCAACAAGGTCTGGTGGACTCTGTCCCCAAGATCTTGAAAATCCTCACACATACACAGGCAGGATGTGAAAAATATCCTTTTTCTAGTACTAAAACGACCTAAACTGGATTGGTAATAAAAGAACTCTGTAACTCTACAAACATATTCACTATACAGAACAAACAGTCCAACACCCACTCTTCAACACAGAGCTCATGACACACTTAGCAGACTTGAAATAACCCTACTCTTTTCAGACTTTCACTTCCTACACCTGCGAGGTGCTGGATGGTAGGTAGCTGTATCCACAGACCCATTCTCACTACATTAATAAACCTATTGAAAAGAATTTTAAAACATGCTAAAATTTTATTTTTAAAAGACTGATTTATATATCAAGCAAGAAGTGAAGTACTTGGTAACATCCCCCAAAACAAAATGACAGAAAAAGTCTGAACAAATCACCAAAAACATCACCTACCAATAGACAGAGAAGACTTGCAAATTATACCTAAATATCTATCCCAAAACCAGCATTTACAAACAGCTTATATCAAAACAGACCTAATCAAAAAGATAGAGGGGGGGAAAAGTACATGTTATGATATAACTTTATTTTTTAAAAAACATAGTATCCTACACAGAGGATACAATCCAAATATACACAGATATCAGCTGTCAAAGGAGCACTACTTGCAACCTATAGTGTACAAATAGAGTACGCAGACCTATCATGTGACTAACTCTGTAACACCTGTGGGGCGATCTGCAGTAATTATGTGGCAGAACTGCTGCTGTGGAAGCAGCATTACATCATCTATCGGCAAATCTTCTGTTTTCTCCAGCAAACAAAGAAATTTTGTTATCTTCTCCGAATGCAAATGAATACTTTAGGGAGCTGGGCATCGATATCCGATAACAGTAAAATGGCTGCGGATGAAGATAAACACTTTTCCAGAAACCTATGAAGTAAAGCTTAATCTTTAATGGATACCAGGACACCACAATTTACCCGGAAATGAAAGAGCAGACAAATTAGCAGAACAGGGAACATCCAATGAACAACCTAACATACCTAAATCACTCAACTCTGCGAAGCAGACTATCAATGCTAACAAATAAGAAGAGTGGTTGGGCTATGAGCTCTACAAGATGTGTTTTCACACACATGCCCAGTCCCAACCCTAAAGATTCAATAAATTTCCTTCAAATACCTTTTCAGCTCCTCACAGGACACACAACTGAATTCCCACCTAAGTCACATAAAATCAGATAAAACACCAATGTGCCCCCTCTGCAGACATCCAAATGAGACAGTAACACATATCCTCTTTCACTGCTCTGCACTTAGGGACTTATGCCTAAAAACACCTACCAAAAACAATAGGACACTATATTTCATCAAAGAACAGATGCAGAGAGTGTGTAAATTCTTCCCCTTGGTGGAAGGCAGATGGCCACCAGATCTGAATGAATACAATGAACCTCTTCAATCAAAAGTCAATTCTAATGTCTTGGAGAGATTTTTAAAAAAAATGTATGCACAGCAACTCAGTCTTGCAAGAAATTTAAATCTATAAAAATATGACAGATTCTCTCTTTTATTTTTTTTAACCCTTTGGCCCTTAGGTTAATACCGAGCCACAGTCTTTCCTTGAGAAAAGAGGCATAACTCCGTAAAATTTTGCAACATACAATTTTTAAAAATTGACCCAAAAAAACCACCAAACTATTAAAGCAATTAAAGTCAAACTTTGGAAATTTCTTTCTTAAAGTCTATGAATCTGGATTCCTTATTTTCTAATCGCAAAAATTTCAGACTCTGCAGGTCAACCCATGCAGTGTTGATTGTATTTGTGACTGATTAATCCACTAACCCCATTGAAATTCTAAGAATTAATGTTTTTACCCCATTTAATTGAATTGTCCATTGGATTTTCTCCAGGGTCATCTGACTAATCACATCAAGCTGCATACAAGCCAGAAACTGGTCCATTGTGGAGTGTGCAACATACAGCTGCCAGACACCGAAGCCTTTGAGGCTCACCTCCATAGGATCCACAACACAGACAAGCTTTACAAGTGTAAGCTGTGTGACCACACAGTGGTGAACAGGGAGGCCATGCTCAAGCATCTGCAAGCCCACAATGAAGCCATTATCTATTCTTGTCCAAAGTGCAGCTGTTTATTGAGCAGTGATGAGAGTCTGATTAGCCACATGAAGAATGCTCATGATTTTCTCCTGGTGGAAAGGCCGCCGGTCAGGCAAAATGTCGGTGTGAGCAGTAACAGCTGTGCAGCTGCTCAAGAGAAAGCCCCCAAGCTGTGTCCAACCAATATCATGTGCTCTGTATGTGGCTTTGTGTGTTGTAACAATGAAATGATGCAGAAACATATGTGGGAGATTCACATCAATGTCGAGGATAAACAAGCTGCTCAGGCGCACAGCTCAATCAAAATTAACCCAGGAACTCTGAAAGTTGACAGCGGCGCCACAAGCACAATGGGTGTCTTGAAGATGAATGTGGACCTGGGGCAGAAAACATTACCTAAAAATGTTGTCTACCAGTGCACAAGCTGCAGTTTCACATCTAGTGACAATTCTGTTTTCATCAAACACATGCTGGCCCACAAAACACAGGAGAAACAGCAGCAGAGGGTCACATCCGCTCTTGAGCCTAATCAAGATCAGAAATTGAACTTAGCTGACACCAAATTTTGCTCCTCACTTGGAACTAAACCAACCACACCGGCCAGTCAGGATCAGGGCAGTGACTCAAGTGTGCCTTTCTATTATGACAAAGCTGCTTCCAGATTCCGGTGTGTGATCTGTGGCTATCACTGTGAATTTCAGCGCACCATCAAAGCCCATATATGGAAACACTCTGGTCACCAGAACATAGAATATCCCACTTTCGATCAGTCGAGCGGCGGCAAGGCTAAACCTTTTTCCTCAGTGGTCCAGGTCTTCCCCTCCCTGGGCAACTCAAGGCGATCTGATGAAGTCCAAATCACATCTGACAATGACCACTGCAAAATTCGATCACACGCCAGCAATCAGCCTTTGCAAATTGTACAGACCAGGTCCGGAGAAACTGTGCAACTTGTGCCAGTTAATCCTTTCAAAACTAAATACAGTCCTGGGGAAATCATTCAGATAAAAGATAATTCAATCATTCTCCCTGCTGCGTTTGGGAGAACATCTGCTGCCAGTCGGCTTCTGGAGAACATAGCATTTTCCGCAGCTCACGCTGAGCACAGTACGGCTAAAGTGTCTAGTCAAGTTTTGGTGTCTCCATATGAACTAAAATCTTTTGCATCTACCACTGAAAAATCAGAATTAGAGGCCCCACAGCCAGTAAAAGTGTATGACTTAAAGCCAGTCAGCCTGGCAAAATTTGACTCTGCAAGATGTTCAAATGTTGATGGTATTGAAGATGTTTACTCCAGCCTTGTGAGTCTGAAAGCAGAGCTCAATGATGGGGAGTCTTTGAGCAGTACCGAGGTGGATGAAGGCTGCACAGAACCAAGTGTGGTGGTAGAAGTTATGGACACTGTCCTGTCTGAATCTGACTTGACCGGTATGGCCAGTCAACATGGCAGTCCAAGAATATCAGATCTCGAGGGCAGTGGAGAGTCTAAATTCCTGAAAGCTTCCAGAGAGATTCATAAATTGTGTGAGTCTGATCAGAGTTTGGGCGACGACAACTCTTTAGTCATTGATGAGGTAACAGAGGTGGCTGCAAGCGACCCCATCAACAACCACCACAGCTACTCGGTCCTGCTGAGGTGCCCCATGTGTGACCGCCAACTGAGAGAGGATTTTAAATCTCATCTTTTAACATGCCAGAGGAGGAGAGATCAGGAACACGCCAAGGCACACGCAGAGAGCTTAAAGGAGAACATGTCTGGTAATAAAACTGCTGGGAGATTTGATGCTGACCTGCACACAGAGGACACTGACTCCACAGAGTCGTCGGATGAGCTGACACTGTCCGGAGACTCTGGGGCTTTTTCCAGCCAGCAGAAATCTGGGATCTGCTCCTCACTCCTGGCCGTCATCGAGCAACTCAGGGAGAGGTCACGGTCAGAGAGTGAAGAGGACAGACAAGGCAGCACCCTTTTAAAGAGAAGCAGTAAGAAGAAAGTCAGGCAAGAAGATGAGATGGACATGGAGTCCATTGATGAACTTCGGAATATAGAAAAGATATCTGACAGTGGCTGTGAGAAGTTCAGGTGCAGCCTGTGCCATTACACAAGCCAACGAATTTGTAATATTAAGATCCACATGAAGACACATAGACAGAAAAAGCCATCGGAATGCTCCCTGTGTGACTTTTCATCAACTTCATCTGAAGTCTTACAAGACCACATGCTGAAGCACTGCAAAGTGAGGACTTACGCCTGCAAGTTTTGTCCACAGAGCTTCAACCATAAAAGCACGCTGAGGGCCCACTTACGGGCACACAAAGATCAAGAACCTTTCTTGTGTGCCTACTGTGTTTTTGAGACCACAAACCCAATAGAATACAGGGAGCACATGCAGGTGCATTCGGGATGCTCTTCCAGGCTCCGTTGTCCAGGTTGTGATGTGATTCTGAACAACAAAGAAGAGCTGACCGTGCACCTGCTCAAGTGTAAAGGGAGCTCAAAGAAAACCAAGTCTTTGGTAAGTGTTGATGAAAAGTCAGCTGTTGACAGGGAGATAGAGAAACTGGATGAGCAGATTTCAGCCAGTCACATCACAACGCATCATGCATGTGTGGTCAGTGGCTGCACTTTCACCAGCACAAGTATTGTACGGCTGCAGGACCATCTGTCCATTCATTGCAACCCTGCTCTTTTAGTCTGTAATTTGTGTGATTTTAAAGCATTAAACACCAGGAGTCTTAAGTCACACATGAAAAGGCACTCTAATGACCAGCGGTATGTCCAGCAACCCCTTGAACAATACAAATGTAATCTCTGTGGCTATGTGTGCCACCACCTGCCCTCTCTCAAGTCCCACATGTGGAGACACGCCAGCGACCAGAGCTACAGCTACGAGTTCACCAACGACGTCATCAATGCTGCCATCGACCACGACACCCGTGTGGAGGCCGATGGTGAACCAGATGACCCCGAGCTGCTCGACAGGGTCATCAACTCTGAGCGAAAAATCTTGGAAGGGGAACTGACCAAATGCAACAAAGGTGACGGCCAGAGGCCCATCTGCTGGGTCACATTTAGGTGCTGCAGCTGCGGCTTTGAAACCATCAATAAAGCCAAGCTGAACATTCACATGAGGTCTCACTCTGACATCATCCAGCAAGCCCTCGATCTACAGAGGAAGTCCCAGCCTGCGGTGAAGTCGTACAATAGTAAACGCCTGAATACTTTTGACAGATCAGATGTCCGCAGTTGCAAAGCTGCAAGGCTAGAGGAGATTGTTTGAAACAGAAGATTTCTGTTCAATCATTGTATTTTTTTTTTCGTTGGTACAAAACTGTTCCCTCCTTCTCACTTTTACAGTTTGCTTATTCTAAGATGGCTTTAGTTTTTTTTTTAGCAAAGGCAACAAAATATTTTCTAAAAAATCCGGGAAATGTGTAAGAAAATTTTTCTCGCTTATTATTAAGGCTGAAGTTTTTTAAATAAATGGTGTTTTTTTTTTTAAAATATAAATATTATTTATATCATTCGGGGAAACTCACATTGGATCATTTTTAGTTTAGGCAGGGTAATATTTTAAAAGGTGATATGGTTGAAATATATTTATGTATGTATATTTTCCTACTTATGTTATATGTGTAATCTCAAATTTTCATTTTTTAAAAATTTATTCGCGTATTACTAATTTGAATGTTTGTTGTGTTTTTTTTTTAAAGATCTGGTCAGTAAATTCATTAATACTTCTTGTATCATTGATTTTATTTGTATAGCAAAATATGTCTGAATAATTTTTTTCTTCCTAAAAATCTCTCCTTTTTAAAAAAACAAACATTAATTTTTATTTTATTAAATGCAGCCTAATGGTCAGTCAAATTGTTATGTTGCTAGCTGATGGGATCTAGGTGCTTTTAAAACCAATGCATGTTACTTTGGTTTGCCTGGGGTACATTTGAAGTGTGTCCTCCTTGATTTAACCCATGCTATAGCTTTAATATCAATGTAAATAATTAGCATAAGTGTTCTTTTTTATCCTCATTTCATTATTTACATTATAAATAGTCATAATAATTTATTATTTGATTCACACGGCATACACAGTTGGTGAATAAAGTTGGGGAAAGAAGGAGGGATCTGACTGAGAGATTCCAAGCAAGGAAAGTAAATATTAAGCTGGGGGGTCTTACAACCCCCCCTCCCACCACCACCTCTTTTTTTCTTACTTCTTTTGTTTTTGGTGTGCTATTATTAAGGAAATATACAATCTCTATACATTTATTCCACATAAGTCGAAAACTTATATTTTATTTGGAAAAAAAGGGTACCGGTAGTTCTTAATGAGTAATATCTGACTTCTTTCTGGTATAAGTTTACTAATTTCTTGCTCATTAATTTAAGCATATACACTGTCCTGAAAAAAGGGAATCCTTTTGATCATGATGAAAAAATATGTTAGAGTTAAAATGAGTTGTGGAATTCAACTATATATGTAAATTTCATACCATGTTGAATTTGGAAATTAAAAAAAAAAACACTACCTATAATATAATGGTAATTTGACGCATGAAAATCTTAGGATAATCAAGTTACTAGTTTCATCATTATAAAAAGTGTGCTGTTTTTGGGGTTTTTTTTGTATGTTTGTTTGTTTGTTTGTTTGTTGTTTTTTTTTGTTTTTTTTTATAAACACAGTGTAGTAACATTACAGGCACGAAATATTTAAACATTCATTGTTATCCAATCGGATATTGTGAAAGAATAAGCAGAACTTTTAAATGAGGCGTAGCTGGGTTTTAAGAAATGGAAACAACACAGCCCCCTAAAATAGAAACTACCCTTATTTTGTTTTGTACCTGGCATCAAACCTGTTTTAAGATTATTGTTACAGCTGTGTGACGTTGGGGGAAAAACTATTTGACTTAACGTTAAACCACCTCAGTGTTTGTTCATGACTCCACATGCATAATTGTTCTATGGTCTTGGATGTTTGTGCCCATTGGTCTGACTTCAGCATAATGAATGGGGTTACACATTAAATGTGTATACAAATTTGGTTTGAAAGTGTATTTTAAACTCGTCATTGTATCAAGGAGGAATAGTTGAATTTCATGCAATTAGTATAGAATTAAAAGGTTCTTTAATTTCCATTAAAAATGAGATGTCATTTTCCTCATACCTCATTGATGTTATAAATATGAGTATTGTGTTATGTCATCATTAATCAAACTGGGGTACATTTATTTAAATATTAAAACTACTCTTGATGGTAAAGTGTTAAAATTTATCTTTTTTTAAAAAAAATGTTTTTCATTAATATTAATCCTGTAATGTAACTGGTATTTAGTTTTAAATGGATAAATTTGTAATTCGTTGACATCTAACTTGACGCCAGAATGTTATAACGCTTAGGATTGGCAGCTGCATAGTTTCTTTTTCTTTTCCCAGCCACTGAAGTTAATTTTTGCAACAAAACTTTTTTTTGTGTGTGCATCTTGCCTCTTTTCTTTTTACCGTATGATTCCAAGATTTTGAAATTTATACTATTATATGATTATAATTAATTAATTAGTTTTTAAAATGGCCATCATAATGTTATTATTTTAATAATGCTTTGATATTTGATCTGAAGTTAATTTTTACAACAAAACACTTTTTTTGTGCAGCGTGCCACTTTAAGTTTACAGATATTTAGGTTCAAAGGAACAAACTGTTGCACTATGTTGTTACTTGGCCATAGTTTGAGAGATCTCCAAACATCAATGTTTTTTATTATAGGGAATCCAAAATAAAAATGCGTGATTCAATTCTTTGTATAAATTAAAAGTTAAGTAGGTTATGCTATGCTTTAATATATACAATGGATCTTACATACCGTACACACTGTGAATGGTTTTATTACTAAAAGATTTTTAAGCATTTGTTAAATTAACTATTTGTTGCTGTTTTTAATTCCTTCCCATACACTAAGATCTGTATAACGTAAACAAGAAATTTTAGTTAAATTTTTAATAGAAAACTATGTATAACTCCATCAGAATATGTGTAGTGTAAGTGTAATTAGTGAGCAAAGTAATTAACACAAATGTATTTGGATGCAATGAAATTTTATTAATGTGTTCCACTAGTTTTCACAATTGTAACAAGATTTGCAAATAATCATGACGTGTATCATAGTTGTCCTCAGATTAGTCAACAGGAAAGACATTAGCAGGTTAATAAATGGTCTGATTTTAAACTCTTGTAAGTTGTATGCTCATTATGTGATTTATTTGAAGTTTAGGGCCCTAATTAAGAAAATAAACTGGGCAATTGAAAGTGGAATTTTTTATTTTGTTCATATTCATTGTTTGTTGATTTTTCGCTATCAAGTAAGTCTTTAGCTGTTGTTTTAGAAGTCAATTTTGCAGTCGAAAGACAACATTCTCTCTTAAAAATTTTTTTAAAAAATCCTCCTTTGAAATCGATAACCTACCTAGGAAAAGTTTAGGGCTAGTATTGTTTCCCATACTTGTTCTTTTCTCTCCTTAATCCTATAATTTTGTTATCCATGGAGATGCCCGAGATTCCCATCCCTTCTATACATTACGGCATAATAATTATGTCCAAAATGTGGAGCCCCTAAAGATGCGGGACCACTAAGCACGTGCCTTGAGGTTAATGCGCACTGCTCAGGCTGATCTTTATGTGTAACTTCTTTTGGGCATCTTTAGCGACACAACTCATCGTTGACGATCTGGGCACCACCACCAATACTTCGGTTTCACTAGTTTTACTTTATGGAAAGAACTTCGATATAAATTACGAAATGGGTGGTGGCGTGGAGTCTAAGGAAAATATTTTCACTGTCATAAATATGATCCTTCACGACCTTTAACATGCTAAGGGTCGAAACACAAATCGCGGGGGAGGGAGTGGCAAAAATATTTGCCCACCCCAGGAGAAAATAGCACTAGATACGAATCGCAATTAGTGCTGCTCCCCCCCCCCGGCTCACAACCGCAAATTTTTTTCACGTCCCTGAACTATATTAATATTCTAATGATCCACCCGCTTCTACACCCCAGATTTTTTTCCCCATCTATTTCAGAAAAACACTTTTTTAAGAAGAGTCTCATTTAGCGCAGTTATTGTGAAATTTATTTCATGAAATCAGTGTCATATTTCCTGTATCTTCCCCTTGACATACAGGCAAAACTGATTGTTTGGGTTGGGGGGTGGGGCTGAAAATTTGACACAATGTGTTTTTATCGGCAACAAGGCTATGTGCCAAGTTACAGCTCGATAGGTTGACGGGAAGTGGGTCAATAAGGCGTCCAAATATTTTTCCAGCCACACAAAAGCAAAGTTAATATAAAATTGTGCGCCCCAGAAACTTTGCGCACGGGCAAATGCCCCTCTGACATTTCCTCCCCACCCCAAGCAAAGCCACTTGTGGCAGCTAATAAATAATAAGCCAATATGAGTAGGCCCTTACAAAAAATCCACTTGATTCAAAATATGTATGCAACAATAGTATAATTTATTTAGGCCTAACGGAGAACTAGAGCACGTGAAACATTATTTCCCCAGATTATCCTTGCAGTTGTGGGTAAGCCAAATAATGGTTTTAAAATATTTATTTTTCCAAAGCTGGCAATGTGAACTCTTTTGGTGTTTTTATTTCGCGCAAGCGTACACATCTGGAAAAGCTGTTCCGGGTAATTTTCTCTGCAAGTACAAGTTTGTCAACAAACCTCCAAATACATTGAGTCTGATAACTAAATAATTGAAGCGGACTGGACGATCATTATTATTCCTATCATAGTGCTTTATTTTAAAGGCAAGAAAAACAAACTTTTCGTTATATATAGTTGTAATTAGCGCCATAGTACCCAGATAATTTCACAATTGCACCCGGCCGCTACACTTTCATCTAAACAAAATTACAGTTCAGACATTACAATAAATTAAAATTACTCATTCGCACTCACTCTCAATTCTGTGCATCTGCTTTGATGGTTTCACTCGACTTCTAAATCATCACAGAATCATGACAGAATCACATCTTTGACCTCTCTCAGGTTCAGTTGACTTCCACCACCTTTGCCTTTATTATAAAGTACAAAACGTGCAACACAACTGTTATAACAACTTACTAAGTCAAGTTAAGAAGAAACAAGCTTGTGGGGCTGGCATGAGGATAACTAATAAATAATATTTGGTAATTTACCACTTGAGCGTGGGCCAAGAAAAAATCAAGCTGTTCCGGTTGGAAGGGCTATTTAAACAACTATTCTTATATTATTTTTAATGACATTGGTTGTACTTATTCATTCCCATAATAATAGACAATTTTTTTTTTTTAAAATAGAAAAACTATAACAATTTTTTTGAAATAGAAGATAATGTGTGAATATGGAACTATGCATAGTTCTCCCCCAAGTTGACAATGAAGTTTTAAAAAATGCAATTTCCACGAAATCGGTTGTGGTACATGAATCCACGTAAATATGAAGGGGAAATATCACCGGCGCTTCTTGTGCAAAACTGTCTTTTCAGTTTACGCTTTCTGAGTATTCACGTTTTCCACATTCTGTGTGTGGACAACCGCGTCATCTGGATCCAAAAAAAAGTAATAATTGTTGTCTCCTTTTCTTCCTGCATATCGGTAGCTTGGCAGTAATAATTATTTAAATGTATAAGTATTGTGCCATATAACTTTATAGCCTATACGAAAGCAAAAATATTAACAGACTCCAATGTAAGAATAGTTGTTTAAATAGCCCTTCCAACCGGAACAGCTGGATTTTTTCTTGGCCGACGCTCAAGTGGTAAATTACCTAATATTTACTATTAACTGGCTGGGCCTTTGATTAGATCCTAGTTTTAAATGATTAATGAGCATACTGCTTTACAACTATAAGTTGTTTTGGAAACGATGCCTAAGGCTAATAAGTTAAGTGTAAATAATAGTGCTTCTTCAAAGTGACTGTCTTGACATTTGACAAGGTTTAAAGATAGGGTGACCAAATTTCCTGTGAAAACGGGATTGTCCCTTTTTTTCACGATCCTACTCGGTGTCCCAAAAAAGTCTATTGGAGCGCCTAAATGTCCCATTTTTAAAACCAAACACATTTTCAAATCACTAAAACTTCCTAATTTATAACTTCACGTAATATTTTGGCTAGCTGTGTAGCCGATGCCAGTAGGGATTGGGCTCGTGTGATGGCTGAAATGTTCCTCCTCCACCACTCTGCCGACACTGCTTAAACGACAGTGTCCCTGCCATAGATCTTAAATATATAGTGAAAGACACGAGACTTGAAGTGAAGGTAGATTTAAAAAGATTTCTAGGTCTCAAAATAGTTAAAATAAGCATATTTCAATAAACAGTTTCCGGCGGAGGCCCCCGGACCCTCCTTTAGCTGAAAGGTATCCCCCCGCCCAAACCCTCCTTGACCTTGGGTGTGTCCCGTTTTTTCCAGTTCATGATTTGGCCACCCTATTCTAAGAGTCATTTTTAATTTAAGAAGCAGTTGAAGACGTTTTTCAGCAGGCCTATATTATGTACTTTAATGAAAGCCATGCCATGTATAAACATAATCTCTGCCTAAGCTAATGCTAATGAAAATTTATTACTAATGTTAATCATGTTACTAAATAGTGTTATATTATATGCTACAATAGCATTAAGTAATGTGTCTGTAGTAATCAAAAAGGCAAATAGGAATCACTATTCAGCACAGGATGCAAATTATAGTAGAGGCCTTGTCAATTTTTGTAGTCCTATGACTTTAGTCCATAGTAATTTTTTATAGATAGACTATTTAAGACTATTTATAACTTATTAGTTAGTTTAGATTTAGGTCTATAGTATAGGCTTACACTATATATTTTTATTTTTGACATTGATTGTGTAATTTAGTTTGTATTTTACTTTTAATGAATGATAAATTAAATATGTGTAACTATCAACTAGTACACAATTATCACATTTGAAATATTGTAGTCAGATGCTGTGAATGTGAAACATCTTTAACTAAAATGATTTTTTCGATTCTATCTTTTGAATCATGAAAACCATTTTAATACCATAGATTTATTAAAACAGGTTCAAGCATTTTTCAGAGTAAAAGTCAAAGAGAAAAAGAAACTTCAAATAAATTTAAAGTACGTTGATGGCCATTGATATGATTTTGTAAAAGAAAAGACAGCAAAAAATTAAAATACAAGCTTCACCGTTATTGGTTTCAGGTATATTATAACATAAGTTTTCCATTATTTTTCTTGCACCTTCCTTTATCTTATCTAGATGGAAGAAGGGCTCATTATTATTGTTTCTTTTAGATTTGTGTCTTATGTCTTGAATTTTTCCAAGGGAAACTGGCAGCAATGCACTCACTCTTAGATGTTTGCTATGATGGAAATTTTTAACACTTAGTATAAATCTTTTGAAACTTTCCATAGTTGACCCACAGTACGTTCATCCGCTGTGCTAGAAAGCACGTACCAATGCACTGTGAATTGTTACAATATCATGGTTGTTTCTTTGCTATTTCTCGGTTGAACATTTTAAGAGCTATTTTTTAATTGGACTCTTACAAAGAAGAGTGGTACGTCCAGAGGCGTAGCGAGGGGGGGGGGGCGATGTCCCCGGGCGCCAGCTAGTTAGTGGCGCATAAAATGTGCTTTGATATTATTTTATTGATCAAAATAATGGGCTTGAGAGTTGAAAAAAAGAAAAAGGGGCGCTTTAAAATGGATCTTGTCCCCGGGCGCGAATCTTGTCCCCGGGCTCCAAACACCCTCGCTACGCCTCTGGGTACGTCATTGTTTATGAGCGAAACCAAGGTTTATTTATTGTCATTTGAAGCATTATTTTATAAATATTCTTCGCTTTTTTTTCCTTTATCAATACTGTTGCTGTGGCCCCCCCCCCCCCTTTCCCAGTTCATATTCTAGTTAAATTGAAGAAATGATTTTACATACATAAAGTCTATTGAATTATCTTTCATTTCATACTAAATTAGGCTTATAAAACAAACACTAATATTTTTAATATTTTTTTTTAAAACAACCTCTCCCTCTTTTTTGTTCTTTTGATAAAAAAAAATTTCATTAAAAAAATTCTACATCGAAAGAATTAAAAAGAATACATAATGGAATTAATTTAGGGTCCAATTAATTTAATTTAATATTGTCATAAAATTTTAAAAAAATAATTACAGTCTTTTAAAAATGTAATGGCTTAAATATAATAACAAAAATTTAATTTCTATTTTTCTAGGTTAAACAGGACTTTTGAAGCATATGAATGAGTTTAGTCGTCACAATGCCTGCAATACTGTTGGAACGCCTTCCACTTCCAAGCCTTCACACCTACATCTCATTTTCTGTCCTCATTCTTGCCCTGGCCTCATTCTATGCTCATCAAACGGTTAACGCAAAACTGAACTTTGACCCCCAAACACAGATAGAAGAAGAACTAGGTCTGCCACCGGAGCTGGCTAACATCACGCTTCCATATGCACAGGATCAACATTTCCTTAATATGGTGTATATTATGAGGGTAGAGACTTGGTGTATATGGGTAAGTTTAAATGAAATAAAAGCTGTTTCCACAATTAAATATCGTTCAACGCACATCTCACTAATGATACGGTATGATTTAATATAGCCAGTGACAATGAAATTATTTGTTCAATAAACATATCTAGTCTTTGTTATAAAATTAGTTACATTATTTTCTGGAGAAAAAAAAACAACATTTGTTCCTCTTCAAATTTCCATTTCTTGTGGATTAAATATTTAACTTTAAAAATCAAAATGAAATTTTTTTAATGCTCTTTTGAAGACTCTGGTCAACAGCTGTTACTGCCTGCTTATTTTGTTGGGTAAACTAATACAGAATGTCATATTTGGTGAACTCAGAGTTAGTGAGAAACAGGTAAGATGTGTACTTTGCCTGGTCTCAGCAAATTTTATTAAAACCAACAGGTTTTTATCAATAGTTAATAGTTTTATCAATAGTTTATAGTTTTATCAATATTTATAGTTTTAATAGTTAAACACCTTTAGTTGATTTTTAATGCAATTTCAGAATTTTATATGTTTCAAAATTGACCTTCATTTTACTAATGATATTTTTCAAATGATTTGTTTTAAGATAAAAAAACAACTTGATCTCTCTCTCTCTCTCTTTCAGCATTTAAAAGACAAATTCTGGAATTTCATTTTCTACAAATTTATCTTCATCTTTGGAGTGATGAACGTGCAGAGCATGGATGAGGTTGTTCTGTGGGTTGCTTGGTTCTCAGGGCTGGGATTCCTCCACCTTCTCACACAGTTGTCAAAAGACAGGTTTGAATATGTAAGCGATACTTTGTCCAAACTTAGCTTATCTCCACACTCAGAACATTCAAGCACTAAAAAGGCTTGTAAAATTTATTCTGCATTGTTTCGTACCGTTATATGGTTTTGAAATTTTATAAGGGTCTGGGAATTAAGATACTTTTAAAAATAATTGTGCAAATCTTTTTTTTTTCAAACTTAAGGACAAATTAGCAGTAAGGACAAAATGTGATAAATCTTTAAAACTTTATACCAAGCACTTGATGTATGCTTTTTGACAGGTGGCTTTATGTTATTTATTCCAGCTGTCTTTCTCGCCTGCCACGCCCCGGTCAGCCCACGTCAAACTGTTGTCATTGCTGCTCATCATCCTGGTCCTGTGTGCAGTGCTGTTAACAGGTTGTGTCTGGGTTGGGATCAATATCAGCTTTACTATTTTTGCATTCCTGGCTGCAGAGGTGGGTAATAGCTTACCATTATTGGGTCAGACCTATTACAGTTTATATAGCACAGATAGTGTCTGGGTCAGCATCAATATCAGCTTTATTATTTTTTGCATTTCTGACTGCCGAGGTGGGTAGTAGATTGATTACAATTATTTGGCAATCCCATTACACTTTGTATGGCACATGTAGTAAATGAGACTTGTATCCACATGTACAGGATAATATAGGTTGCATTTAAAAATGGCAAAGGCTTCATAATTTCAAGAGACAGGAACGAATGCAGCAAATACTTTTATTTCAAATATCTAGATTTTATTATAATAGATATATCAATATATTGATGTGAACTAAGAAAGGGATTCTGTACATCAAAAATGTGTTGAACTATTGCCGATTTAAATCGATGCTTTCAGATGATATTATTGTGGAATAAAGTTAATAAACTGTACCGGTACTGACTTTTCATTAAAATATCAAGAAAACTGCTTTGAAAATAACATGTTGTTTTTTTTTAAATGTCTGAAAACTTGATTATTTTTTCAACTATATTTTTTAACTTTTAAAAAAATGGTAGTTCCATTTTTAAATATCATTTAAAATGAGATTTTCTTGTTAATTTTAGTAGTTTTAGAAAATTAGTGATAGAGTTGGAATCACTATGATTATTCACTAAACAACACTGTCATGTTTTTCTCTTTGCAGAGCCTCTTATTAATGCTGAAATGTTTGTATGTCGTTGTTAGGTAAGCATCTATCGGTATAAATATTTTTGAGCGTTTGAAACTGAAATAGCTTCATGCATTATATAAAAAAAGAAATAAAGCTACTATACTCTTGATTTATAGAATCTAGCATAGTGTTACACAGTATCATCATCAAGCTAAGATTATCATTGGTCTTGTTTTGAAAATTTACACATAATAAGCCTCAGATTTATTCCTTGTGTTGTTATTTTATTTTTGTTCTAATGGAAAATGAGAATCTGAATTGACTTTGTCTTGATGAATAAAGCAAGAAAATATGTTTCCCAACTTGTTTTTAGACCTGTGCCTTATAACTTTTAATATGATATATTGAATATTCGAGTCATAGGCTAGGAATGAACAACTTTATTATTATGATTTTAAAACCTCTATTACATTTATACAGATGGTTATCCTTGTTGCGGTGACCAATTAATGTCTTGACAGTCTAAACTTATTTTGACAGAATCCCTAATAGTGTTTTACATGCTGAAGATCAATCTTCAGATATGTTCAAAAACTGCAATAATTTTGTTACCAGATATATCCTTCAGCTGTGGGACATGAGCCTAGAAGGTGTTTGGGAAGCTAGGGCCATATATGTGTATTACACGGAGCTGGTATTTGAGCTTGTGGCACTCAGTGTTGACTTTGGCCATCACCTGCATATGCTGGTAAGTGTTTCACATACATTTCAATGCATGTAAAAACCTGCTGCAGATTTTATCCTGGACTCACCCAACATAGTATTTTTTCTTACTGTGCTGTGTTTATAATAAGTGGTCGAATACAATAGTCTGACTTACACGAATTTTCATGCAATACTTTTAACTTTAATAACTAACACAATTAAACAATTAGAAAAAAATAAAATTAAAAAAATTAAGCAACCGTTTACTGATGAAATTTATTTTACTTTGTTTTGACTTTATAAAATATTGTGTGGCTTGGTTGAATGACTTAAGCGGTTAGTTTTGGAATAAAAATGGCATGTAAACAGTGCTTTATTTTATATAGTAATACTATAAACTAATACTTGTATCTAAATATATTTAAAAATATATCAAGTAAATGAACTTGGCAATAGGTGCAATATCAGAAATAATGCTCAGTTTATGTTTTTTATTTACCAACCCTTAAATAATTTAGACAAATAATTCCAAAAGCAATAATTGAAAGAAGAGAGATTGAAGTAATAATAAAAAAAACATTGACTTTTTAACAGGACTAAGTGAGTAGGTCAAAGGTATAATTAAGTTAAATTGAGTTAAATAGATAAGTTAATAATTGTAAACTATGTCATGTTGATGCAGCTTTACATCAAAGTTTTTTGTACATCCCCAGTTACACGGCAACATCTTTCTGAGCATGGCCAGCCTAGTGATATGTATGCAGCTTCGGTTCTTGTTTTATGAGTTCCAGAGACGCATAAGGAGACATAAGAATTATTTAAAGGTGGTGAAAGAAATGGAATCCAAGTGAGCTTTTTTTTAAAAAAACTAACTTTTCTGTTCTGAACAGGGGTGGGGTGCTGTTATTGTGTGTTCAATTTCATCTTTGATTATTATAAGAGGCAGATTAGTATGTTAAGTTTCATTGTTTATTTATCTTCTGTATAGATAAATTATTGTATGTGCGTTTGTTTAAATACTTATACAGTCTTTGTAAGCAATATGGAAATGTTATCATTATATAAAAGAAACAATAAGCGTAAAAAAAAAATTAGGTTTAATGCTGGAGGGATAAGTAGTGGAGTATTTCTTACTTAAGTATTGCAATTACTTAACTGGACGTTCCCATAAATAGAATGAGTAAAATTTGAAATCTAAAATTTTTTAAATGTTAAATTTTTCACAGAACTCAGTTTAGGGATTACATTTTAAAGGGGGAAAAAAAAAGCAATGAAAAAAAAAAGAAATTGACTGACATACATTATAGGCAATATCTTAAGACTGACATACACTAAAGGCAATCACCTTAGACTGAAAGATTTTAAAGACTATCACTTTGGACCGACATGTTACCAGCAATCACTTTGGACTGACATGTTACAGGCAATCTTTTTGGACTGATATGTTACAGGCAATCACTTTGGACTAACATATGTTACAGGCAATCACTTTGGACTGACATACGTTACAGGCAATCACTTTGGACTGAGAGACATTATAGGCAATCACTTTGGACTGACATATTACAGACAATCACTTTGGACTGATATACTTTACAGGCAATCACTTTGAACTATTAACCTTAAAGATTTTATTACATTTAAAATAATATTTTACAATTACTCATATTCTTTTTACAGGTAAATGCTAAGAAGTTACATAAAAATCATGCTTAAATGTTACTTATTATTAGGTTCTCCATGGCTACCCAAGAGGACCTGGAACAGAATGCTGATGACTGTGCCATCTGCTGGGAGAAAATGGAATCGGCTCGGAAACTACCCTGTGGTCATCTCTTTCATAAGTAATAAAACATCTCTTGATATAATTGTGTGCATGCGTAAACCAAATTTCATTAGCATGGACTTAACGTGCAGTATGATTTTCCATCTTTTAACACCTCAAGGTATCGAACTATTTCAACTTCCAGAGTAGTTAAGTTTCTCATAAATGTACATCCTATTATTATATAGTACAAATATTTGATCATTCTGAAGCAGGGGTGGCCAACCCAAATGGCTTCTCAGGCCAATTTAATAGCGAGTAAAATAAAATGTTCGCATGCTGCATGAATCGGCACCTTATATTAAAATAAACACCCACTAAATGCTGTATAGAAATGTTTATATATTCTTAATGCACATGATGGAATGCTAAATAACAAAACAGAATGAACCTAAACTGATGTGAAATCAAGTTAGCTTTTCTCCCACTTAAGTTGTTAAAACGATTTCTATGTAAATTGAATTAAGAACGAATAAGTTCATTTATATTATTTATATTATATTTATAAATTAAGCATCCACATTCCACTACTGACGAGGTAGCGGCATGCGGGTTAGCCACTCCTGCTCTCAAGCATGTATTAAACTGAGCAAATCTCATCATCGTAAATAAAGATTAATCTGAAAATTCTGTGCAGGTGATATGTATAATTTATTAAGTTATGAAAAAAATTTCATGTTTTTAATATCAGTTCCTGTCTTCGATCCTGGCTTGAACAAGATTCTTCATGCCCAACTTGTCGTACAACTCTGAGTGAATCCAATGAAGGCAGAAATGCTGGACCAACTGGTCCCACTGCTAACATAGCTGATGCCATAGTTGCACCCCCCAATCCAGCAACAACAAATCACTTCTTTCTCTTTGATGGTAGTATTTTTTTTTCTGCTTGTTTCTGCCAACTTCAGATTTTTCTTTATCATCACCTATACCAGGAATGTTAATTCTACCTTTACACCCCCCCCCCCAAAAAAAAAAAACAACGTTTTAACAAAGTAATAAACATCAGTAAGATTTGTAACCCTGGAAAATCATTATCTAATTAATATAAAATTAACAATATTTTTTTCTAAATATATAAAATCACAAAGTTGTTTTTGTGCGTAAAATGTTTTTAAAAATGTATCTTTTCAAGATCATTATTTAAATATTATTCATTTATAGTAATTATAGTGTCTAATCATTTGTTTTATTCTCTCATTGTTTCTAATATTAAAAAATTTAATGCAGGATCTCGTTATGTGAGCTGGTTGCCTAGCTTTTCTGTTGAAGTGACCCACACAAATCTCTTACCAGGACAACAAGCACATGCTACTCAAACATCCCAGCTGGACAATATGGTACAGCAATACGTTCTAAAGAAAATTATTAGCACTAGAACTTTAACTTACATGGTCTGTAAACAGAATTGAATGTAAACTAAAATATAATATCATTTTTTTTAAAAATGAAAAAGAAAATGAAATCCCTTTGTTTTGTATCAGTGATAGCATAAATACAGTGTATGAAAAGAAATTAAATGACACATTAAATTTGCATGTAACCTCACATTACTTAGAACTGCCAGTCTTCTCTTATTCGTTTGATATGTAATTAAGCTACATTTTCTAGGATGTAAAATGTATGCCTATTTACAGTTAATGTTGAAAGCTTGTGAATATAAATTTTTTTATTTTGCGCTCACTTAAAGAAAATCTGTATTTCTTATATTGATTTTATTCATGCTCCCTACAGGCAAGAGAGGTTCAGGTAGTGTTTCCAAACATTCCACAGTCTGTTATCATGGAAGACCTACGTCAGACACGGTCCGTTGATCTTACAATTGACAACATTTTGGAAGGAAGAGTAACGGCCCCACCTGTGAGCAAAAGATGTATTTATCTTATGAACTAACTGTCTAATGTTATTTATTTTATTTTAACAAATTTAAATATGACGTAGGACACAAGGAAAATTCTTTGTGTGTTGATTCTCATCAAAAGGATGGGGAAAACTTAAGTGAAATACATCCTAGTTGTGTCAGATAACCATTAAAGTTTGAATCAATTTTTTTTGTTATTCATCAATATGATGATGAACTTTTTCAATTTAATTACTTAAGATTTAATACTATGTGAGGGTAACTCAGAAACTGACATAGTAAACTGCAAGTTATGTTGATATTTGAATGTCTTTAGCTAATTTATTTATATCACTTCACTTGTTAAGCGAAAGGAATTGAAAAATGTGGAAATGCTGAATGGCCAGTTTCAGTCCAGATATTTAATGTGATCTCAAGCTTTCAATTTCCTGATGAATTCACCATTCACCAATATTTTTTTTCATTTCTTCCATAGCTCCCTATTACTGCAGGACACCAGAGGAATGACAGTCACGGCAGTCTCAGTGGCTCATCAACTACATCTGAGGTAAGAAACTTAGAGGAAACTTCATGTTTTTTCCTGATCCTACATACACAAGTTGTTTTGTGCTTTGTGTTATCTGATGTGTCAACACTGTTGGAATAACCTGATGTATCAACACTGCTTGAATGCCTTGGTGAAATAACCTGATGTATCAACTCTGTGTGCCGACACTGTTGGAATAAACTTATATCCATCTCTTGTACAGGTTTTGTTTGGTACAGAAATTGATTCACCAAGACAAGGTAATCCTCCGCAGACCAACTCACAGTCACTAGAACTGGATCTATCCAAAGCTAGGCCACAGCAAACACTGTCAGTATAATCTGTGTGGTTCATTACACTGTCCCTGTTCTGTCATCATGTCTATTTATTGTTTGGAAGTTTTACTTTTTATTTAAAAATTGATTTACAAAATATCTTTCTTGAGCAATTTTCAACTGGTGTGTCGAAAGATTTTGATATAAAGGAATTAAGAATAAAGATTGATCTTTTGTGAAAAGTCAGTTATTTATGCATATTATCTTAATACTGTCTTGCCAACTTGGTTTGAGATTCCTATTAGTATTAGCTGGTCAGCTGTGGGCTGTCTTGCCAACTTAGTTTGAGATTCCAAATAGTGTGTCTGGTGGGGCCTGTCATGCTATCTTATAATTATAAGACTCCAAATTTCTGATCTTGTGGGGCCTGTCTTGCCAACTTTATCTGAGAGTCTATTTAGTGTGTCTGGTGGGGCCTGTCCTGCCAAAGTAGTTAGAGGTTCCAAATAGTGTGTCTGGTGGGTCTGCCTTGCCAACTGAGTTTGAGATTCTAACTAACTGTATTGCATAAAAACCTTTTACTACAGTTAGTCAACTATTTTACTCTGTGAGAAAATTATATTCCATTTCACTTGTCTATGATTGAAAATCATGGAATCAGTAGATGAAAGTATATGCAATGTCCTTATATACACAAAGAAAAACATTCATTATTGTTTGTTAACACAGAGAAAGTGGGCCATCCAGCACAGGTCCATCAAGTACAGCTTTAGGCGGTCGATTTTCAAAGTCAGCCTCTGAGAGAATGACTATGCTCGAAAGTAGAAAACATGTGATGTTGGAACAAGCAAGAAAGTAAGTTTGAATACACCCAACTATTCATTGTCATTGTCCAAGGTAAAAAGGTAAAAAATAATATTTGGACATGGTTGTGTTGTTTCAGTTTCGAATGTGATCAAGTGTTTAAAAAATAATTGTGCAGGACAATCTGTAGTACCGTTTTTTTTTTTGTAGCATCCATGACAAACCCAAACACAATTCCACATTATTCTTATTTGCCTTCTAAACTAACACTGGAGCATATCCAATTAACAATACCTGTCCGCACTTTCTTGCAATCCTTTCTCATCAGTTGTACATTCTCTAATCGTTATTATCTGTTCCAGAAAATATCAAGATAAACAGGATAAACTTACATCTGCCAGCATCTCATCAATAGATAATGAATTAGAGTGGGACTCCAACCTCTCAGATGACGCTGATAGATCCCTGGATTCTGAAAGCTCTTCTGTCAGTAAGGACAACGTTTTGGAAATGGATGACGAGCAGGCTAAAAGAAGAGCCCTCCTTCTCAAAGCCACCCAGCGTCGGCTAGGGTCACAGATAGACTGAATCATATATTCAACAAAGCCAACTCTAGTCCAGATTAATAATCGTAATCATTGCTCTTAAAGTCAAGGGATGTCGATACAGGAAAAAGTGGTTGTTGCTCATCAAGCTCAGCCTGGCAAATTGATCCTTTGCTGATTTTCGTGCATTGAAAGATGAGCTTTTAAAAAGCAACAAAACAAAAAATGAATGAGAAAAATTGTTATGGTACCGGGTATGAGAAATTATTTTAATTAAACAAACAGGCTACATAAAATAGCTGCTTTATTATGTGGAATTTATTGATGGGTCATGTATAGTTGAATAAACATGAATAACATCAAAGAGTAAACACGAATCACACCTAAGAAAAACATGAATCACATTAAACTACTGGTATTTCTTTTGTCAAGGTTTGTCAAATATTTATCACATTTTTTGTTTGTTTGTTTATTTAGTCAAGATATTATAAAGCAAGTTTCAAAAACACAGTTTAACACTTTGGTCTTAACAGCAGGTCTGATATTAAATATTGTTAAAATTATAAGGGCAGTTAACTAGCAGTTTTTTTTTGTTTCATGTAATCCAAGGTAAATAAATGCTATAAAACAGAAATATTACCTGAGCTAGGTTACAGGATGAGACACGCTGAAAAAACAACTGCTAACTAGACAGCCAATGGATTATAGCAGTCATTGGAGAATGGTGGCCTCATGATTGATAGACTACTTAACCTTTACAAAGATTTGTCTGCTAAACACATAACCACTTGATGCGTTGATGGTCAAGCTAGTGAAGGACCTGTATAGCCTGGTCTTAATTGTCCTGTCTAGTAAATGACCAAGATAGTATGGGGTGTTAGTTGATGACCTGGCTAGTGAATGACCGAGAGAGTTTGTGGTGTAGTCTGAGGTGATAGTTGATGGCCTGGCTAGTGAATCACCGAGTGAGTTTGTGGTGTAGTCTGAGGTGTTAGTTGATGGCCTGGCTAGTGAATCACCGAATGAGTTTGTGGTGTAGTCTGAGGTGTTAGGTGATGGTCTGGTGATTGAATGACCAGGAGAGTTTGTGGTGTAGTCTGAGGTGTTAGTTGATGGCCTGACTAGTGAATGACCAGGAGAGTTTGTGGTGTAAAGGAAAAGTCAGTTGTAAAAGGTGTGTTTATTTTTAAACTTATCTCTCATTTCTTTCTCTAATAAATAATTGAAAACTGAATCCATTTTCTTTCCAACATGCTTGTTAAAATGTTCTGTGATCTTGAATTATTTTTTTTTCTCCAATTCTCTGATGGAATTTAACACCAAAATTTATTCTTCCTATTATATTATATACTTCCATTAAAAATTGCTCATGATTTTACATGTTTGTTATCCCATTGGTTACGCAAAATTTTATTTTCATAAAGACCCCAGTCTTTAAGTAGACGCAGGCTGACCTATGCTGTACTCACTTAATGTAAACAAATAGTTGCCGTTTCACTCATGCCTATTTCAAAGTATTTTAATCTCAATGTTATAGGCCCGAGTGAAACTGGTTGTGTTGTGGCTTCGACACTGATCAATTTAAGCTTACATGTTACCTGATGTGTACATTCAAGGGATGAAATGAAGAGACACACCAGTAATCCTTATTTAAAGTATTCACGGATAACAACGCTTTTTTGGATTCACTCATCTTTTCCGACGATGTTTGCATGACCTACTATTTGACTTTATGTTAAAATACAAATTGTTTTGTGATTTATTAATTAATTGGCAACAGGATTTGTTACTGTCTTCGGTCACAGGAAATGTAATGATACATTTCTTTAAAAAATTTCGTTATCTGTTTGTCACTCTAACAAAACGTGCAATCTGTTTGTTTTTTTTTGTTAGACTGATATGTGCATCTCTGTTACAATGAAGATTGTAACTAATTTCATATAAAAATTAATTGGTAGCCCCTACAGTAGAGAGTAACTTTATTTAAAGTTGGACATTTTTTAAAAAATGTTATTACAGGTATAATTTTTTTTTAAAGGACTATATTTATAGACTATACAGGTATAGAGTCAATAACCTACTAGTATAGTCCTTTTTTTTTTAAATTCTTTTTTTAACAAGTATTTAGTTTCACATTTTTAAGCGTTTACCATATTTTTTAGAAGTTGATAGATGCATCAACTTTCAGTTACTTTAGATTTTTATGTAAATATCATTTAAACTTAAACAAAAATAAATATTCTTAAAATAGAATTAAAAAGAAAAAAAAATATTAAAAAATAAATTCTTATGTTTATGGTTTGATTGTATTTCATTGCAATAATTGTGTGTACAGCTGCTTGGGTAGTCGAGCCATGGAATGGAAAATTATATCTGCTTATGTCAGTTTACTTTATCACTTAGTCTGTGGTGACATCATCAGTCTTTGAGGGCCACATGGCGATGTTTGAGGAACCACTCCAAAACTTGATTTTTTACATACAAGTACATGAATTGCATATGATGATTACATTTCTTTCATTGGTGCACATTGTACATCATCTCATACATACATGGAAAATAATTTGTTGGTCATTATTTGTACCCCTATACTAAATTTGATACACCCTTAACGTTGAAGTTTTATATTCCTCTTTTTGAAGGCACAAAGACTGTTGCAACATTTTTCTTTTCAAACTGCTGGCTCTTTGATGAGTGTGGTACCTGATCAGTGTTGTTGTTCTTGATTCTCAATATTTTGTGAGATTTCTCCTTCTATGTTATTTCAGCTGTTTCAGACAAAAAGCGATGTCACTTGTCCTCATAGACTTATTCATTTTTACATGAAACTCATGAAATAGTAAAAAAGGAAAAAAAAATTAGACCTCTCATTTACAGTAGAAGAGATTGGGTCCAACAACATAAATGTGATTAAAGAAAAAGAAAAAAATATTTGGGAATTTAACTGCCAAGCGACATTGTTAAAGTTTTTATAAAGGCTTTATCGAAACATTTTGATTTTTCAAATAATTAACTTAGATAGAATTAAGAATGCATACAAAAATTTTTTATGAATTAAAATGTTGGAGCTAACAAAATCTGACTTTGCAATTGCTGATACTGTATCATTCAATGTCACAATTTTTTTAGCACTTAAGTTGTCAGTCAATGTCATCATATTTTTTAACTGCTGTCAGCATCTCCCTTACATTCTCACAACATGTTAATAGTTGTTTTTATATGTCTACAAAAACATTCTTGGGTTGGTGTTGTTTTTTTTTTTCAATGCGAGAATAAACGTACTTTTTTAAAAAATTTGTCTGCTCTGAATGTCATGACATTTTATGACCAAACTCTGCATAATAATAAGCTTGAGAAGTCTAGCAGAAGCATTCATTCCAGGAACAGAGGCAAGCCAGTTACTGGAAGTCTCATGTCATGTGATATATTCTGTTTCAGTTGAGGTGCTTATGTTCTCTAACAACTGAAGTTGTTAACTCTTCCAACAATTGTAATTACATAATTTTGAAAAAGTTTCAATAAGTTAATTTTTTTTTTTAACTAGGTAAAAGTAAAATTTGCCATTTATACTTTGTGGTATACAGTTTCCTTTTTTTTTCCCTCTCCCCATTGGCAACTCAATACTTTTTCCCTTTCCCCATTGGTAAATTTTCCCTTTCCCCATTGGCAAACTCAATACATTTTCCCTCTCTCCCATTGGCAACTTAATACATTCTCTTTCCCCAGTGGCATCTCTATAAATTATCCCTTTCCAAATAGGCAAATTTTCCCTATTGGCAACTCAATACATTTTACCTTTCCCCATTGGCAAATTTTCCCTTTCCCTAATGGCAACTCAATACATTTTCCCTTTCCCCATGGGCAAATTTTACCTTTCCCCATTGGCACCTCTATACATTTTCTCTTTCCCCATTGGCAAATTTTACCTTTCCCTACTGGCAACTCAATACATTTTCCCTTTCCCCATTGGCAAATTTTCCCTTTCCCTAATGGCAACTCAATACATTTTCCCTTTCCCCATTGGTAACTCAATACATTTTCCCTCTCGCCCATTGGCAACTTAATACATTTTCCCTCTTCCGATTGGCACCTCAATACATTTTCCCTTTCCCCTTTGGCACCTCTATACATTTTCCCTTTCCCCATTGGCAACTCAAAACATTTTCCCTCTTCTGATCGGTATCTCTATAACTGTTTCCCTCTCCCGATTTTCTTTTCAGATAACCCATTGCTTCATATGAATGTGCTTACTTCACCTCCTTACCTAATTGTTTGAGGGTTTTTTAGTCATCCTATCTAACACTAACTCATGGCCTACCTAACACCAACCTATGGCCTATCTAACACCAACCTATGACCTTTTGATGAGAACCTTTTGAACACTATATTCTATCATTGTTGCTTTTTTTTTAAATTTCTAGGGGGAGCAGTGATTAAAATTTTTTTTAAAATAGAGATTTCCTTATTTTTCTGAATTTCTTGTCTTTTTTTTAAATTTATATCTGGTAATAGAAAATGTGTAAAACAATCTGGGGAATTAAGTGTAACATCAAAACTAAAACAGTTCAGTAAGCATTGCTATAATGACTGATTTCAATTATAACGGCAACTGATAAAATTTCTACCATTCTTAAAATCATGCATACAAATTCATCTATTAATCTGACAAAACTCTTCATCCCTCTGGTTGTAGGTAATTTATTAATGGCCCCTTTTTACAGTTTTTCATTAGGCCTTCATGCTCTTTGTCAACTTGCACAAACTTAACATTGTTGCCAGATTTTGACATCAAAGCAAACGAGAACTTTACACAAAAAAAATTCTATAATTGATGACACATTTTTAATGCATCTCAACCCCTACTCCTTAAACTAACCCAAAGGGAAGTGCACCTGTTTCACGCAGAAAAGCTTAAGACTCCAAATAAATCCCTTGAAAAATAAGCAAATTATGTAACTGATCTATTGAAAATTGAGGGTTAGAAAAATATTTTATTTACGAGCAGGAGCATTGAGATTTGATTTCACCCTAACTTGAACTTGGCCATGACGATATGAACCTTCTTGGAACAAATGTTTTTTGGTTTTTTTTTTAAATGTAGCCTAACTATTTTATACTAGTAGACACCCTAAAGAAGGTAAAATAATAGAATTTAATGGTTAAGTTGTTTTATGCCATGATGCTGCTTGTCTATTTGGTCTATCTGATTCACTGTGTCAGGTACCCGGTACTCCATGTACTTAGGTGTACAGTAGGCTATGTGGTTTTTTTTTATACATGCATGTCACTGTGTACATGAACACATTTTAATTATGATTTGGTCTCTGTGCACACAATTTTAAAATTGACCCTATGATTGCTTATTAATTTTAATGTTCGATTTTAATACAAACATATTCAAAGACTGGTGTGAGAAATGATCACGTTTTCAAGATATGTGATTTATTCAAAATGAAATTGGAAATGATTCCATAATGACTGTTATGATATAAATAAACATTTACTGAATGAGGAAGAAAAAAAAAAAAGAATGTGTGTTTAAGTTATTATTGCAATTAATTGTTCATAATCAACTACATCCTACACTAGAAAGTAAAGACTCTTTGTTGGTTCTACGCTTAGAGCTAGGTTTCTGTCCCGGGATCACGAGATCCTGTAAGATTTTTAGGAAACAAATTTTTCCAATACAATTTTTATTTTAATTCTTATTTCAGCAAGTGATATATTGTCACAAATTGTGGTTATAAACCAAGACCTGTAACATTTAGTTAACAACGCTGAATTGTTATAATCTCAGAAGCTCTGGTGCGCAGGTATTCAAGCGGTTTCAAGTCACGGCCACATTTATCTAGAAGCAAAATGCCCATACATTGGGGGAAAAGGGGCTTTTAAAGCGTGAGAACAGAAACTCGCCCATCTTCCCCCTAGACAGCCGCGAGGCCACGACCGGCTAATAAAAACAAGAACTCAGTACAGGACTCCTCATTCCTGCCAAAGACAATAGGGGAAACAAGCTTCCAATAGCAACAGTTGAGGCGGCTACACTCGACACGTTTGTGTCTATTGCCTCCTGTCTTCCAACCCCCAGTTTATAACATCACTGCTGAGTACCCCTTGCAACCAGTGAAGTATCTCCTTGAAAACCATGCACAGTAACATCGCGAACCCCTCTGAAACATAGGAGCCAGAATGATCAATTCATTGATCGTGGGCCCTCAAAATATGGAAGAAGAGAAGAATTCCTGGTAAGGAAAACGTTTTAAAAATTAATTTTCCAGTATAATTTAATTTCTGACACATATAGTTCATATAGTGTCATGATTGAAATCCTAACTTAATAATTAGAAAGAACACTATTTAAAAATCCCAATTTTTTCTCATTCCAGTGGTGGCCAACCATGAAGGCTTTGGTGGTCACTTTGATAGCAAGTAAACCATTGGCCCACCGCATGTCCTTAACTGAATAAATCGCATCATTGTAAATAAGATTGATCTGAAAATTCTGTGCAGGTGAAAAGTTTAATTTATTCAGTTATATACATTTTTTTTAATTTAACAAAATACCTGGTACAAAAAAAAGAAAAAAAGAAAACACACAAACACGCTTTTCTCAAAATGTCCTTAAAGGTTTAAAATAAATGTCCTCCAAAACTTCATAGATGTTGATCATGTGATTTTAAAAAAAAAAAGGGTGTGGCACACTATGTTCTTTGCAAATCGCAAAGACATGCACGCAGTGGTATCATTCCACTTGTCAAGATCAGAATCGATGGGAGCATGCAACAGTAATGGAATGGACGTTGTGAGAACTCACATTTTTCGTAAGTGTTTGTTGAGCGCCCGTGCGCGATTAGTCTGCGCGCCATCTGTTGTTTTTAGTGTTTTGTTGGTGTGTGTGTGTTGTTGTTGTTTTTTTCGCTTTCTCATTCCCTAGAGACAAATCTCTTAGTCGCCAAACTTTTCGCCCACCACCGAGGTTTAGTTTTTCATACGGGCCCACCCCCTTTTTTCGCTTTTAAGATCGCTTTACAGACTTGTTCTGTTACTTTGTTGTACACCGCATGGGCAGCCGGCGTCTTCCTTTTGGTGGATTTCCCCCGTGCCTTCGTTCCTAGTTTTAAAAGTTCATTTAGACTCTTGCTGCAATATGGCTCTAGATATTTTCTTCCCATTCGTACTTGGGATAGTCATGGCAATCTCAAGTATCGCGTCACCAACAATCTCAAGTATAGCATCATTAACAATTTCAAGTATCGCGCAACTAAATTTCTCGTACAAGACATCTATTTTGCCGGATTCGACATCGACCGAAGCGAACTTGGTCTCGGTTTCAGTCTCTGCCATTTGACTCTGTGGAATTGTCAGTGTCGCTTTTCGAAGCATGCCTATAGTTTTATCTCTAACAGGATCAAGAGGTGGTCATTTTAAACCTTGCATATAGTCTCCAGCCTGTTCTTGGACTCCGGGTCCGCTGAGATTAGTGTCAGATTTGGTCGGGACTCAGTGCTATTGATATCCTCTGTGTGAGCAGTCTAGGAACACTCTCCTCGTTCTATAAGCTGATGAGATTTGTAGTGAAGCATATCTCCTTAAAGTATCGTCCCGACGCATTTCGTTCCAAACGACCACAGTCTTCACTGTAAAAGCTACGCCCTTCTTGAAACTATTACTGTTAGAGTATTCATGTTGTCGTATTTCTTAACTTTATAACGATCTCAACGGTGAGATTGTTGAGAACCGCTGTGGCAATACCTCGACATCGGAAACATTGTCAATGTTAAAGCGAATAACGAGTTATAAGAAACGGCTTATGAGCGTTTCTTGGAATATGGCTACGTCCACTGCTAGTCAATGTAAAAGTTTTGTTATTTCTTGCGTCATCTGCCCTGTGTCACACACACTCAACTGTAGCACACAACGGTTTGAGCGTGATGATCCCTGGCACCTTCCCCCCCCCCCCCACGGCCAGTCACCTGTTCGCCCAGAGCCGGCCTGTCGTTCCTTACCGGGGTGAGATAGGGCCGCCCCCTCAAGCCAAGAGATTTGGGGGGGGGGGGGTGTCCCTGAGCTACTTCAGCAGTAGTATCCCATGCGCCAACCTTTTCCCCCAGAACCATTGTACAGGGGTTTAGGAGGTGCTCGATCGCGCAAGCCATAAGAAAGAGAGAAAGGACAGAATCCTCCCCCCCCCAACCCCCCTAAGACCTAGGATTTGCGTCTTCTAGGCCCCTTTTCCAGTGAGTCATACGGTGGTAGCGAGGGCGCCGGTTCATTAGCTTCGGCACACGCTTCATTTGTGCTCAAAGGCTACTAGTCTCTCGCACCACGTAGAGGAACGATCCTTTGCGAGAGATCTAAATAATATAAACTAAACAAGATATGTTTTCTGTCGTGATATTATTTTATCTTTTCTCTCACTCATCTTTTTACAATTGATTTCTTCGTAAAATTGAACGGAGAATGAATACTTTTATTAGTGTTCTATTGTTTCAGCCGGCCACCCCACATAAATACCTTCGCAACCACCATTTGAGGACACCCACACGGGCTGGAAACCTGTGCTCCTGTAACTTGATTATCCCAAGATGTTCATGTGTCCAAAATGAACATAGAAAGACATATAGACCTACACATATAAACAAACGTATTAACGTTTCTTCTCTTTTTTAATTAATTTTTTGTATTTCGATAAGAACCCCTTGTTATAAGTTGTTAGAAAATTTTGCTTGTAAATATTTAGTGACAGATTCGAAGTTAGAATTAGCGACTTGCGTTTTTAAGCTTAAGACTACGGCGAGCCTAAAAAACTACGGTTTCAGGAGTTTTTTCTTTTAAATTTTTTTTTAAATAGAAAAATAAATACCGGCAATTGGGGTATTTTCAGTAAAAAGTTACCGCATTTTTTTTTGTTAACACCGGAAGCAATCAAATAAGAATTCTGTGATTGGCCTTTGCGGTCTCGATCTCAATAAACCAGCTAGAATATTATCTTTTAGAGAATAGCGTTGTCAATACTTAACTACCAATGTGCTAGCCTAAGACATTTTCTCATCCTTAAGAAACAAATCATATGACTGTATCCTGTATATTTATTTGTCTTAACTTACATAAGCAGTTGAGTGGATTTCCTTACACAACTTGCAAGCTATTTTAATTGCAAACCAGCGCCCCACCTCTCCCCTTGACCTAACTTCTCATTGGAGCTTGAAACTACACTTTTGAGAGCTGAAAACAACACTGACACTAACCCAGGTCTGTGGTTTTATCCAACTTTTGCTTAACAAGCATATTATTAGTGTAACACATCGTCGTTACACCGCTTCTGACACCATTTGTAACACACCTACTCTGACATGGCGTGGGAGCTTATTTCTTATGCTGTGGGTTATGTCAGTAGTATGGTTACTTATGTTATGTTGATATTTCAGGATGCCGACTAAGGCTTCTTCATTCTTCCACTTATAATCCGGGCACGCAAATAAGAATACTGAATCCTGGTTAAACTTACAGTACTTTATTGAACACACTTTATATTGATAATATTAACATATAATCCTTGCATGAATGTAATTTCACATATATATCTATAGTATTCCATCATTAAGAAAGACACGTCCTCACACTAAACTGTCAACTGTCTAATCACACAGCTCTCACGCTACTGACTCTACTGCTCAAACGTGGAGCTCACATTTGTATCTCAAAATACAATTCATTGTCCTCGTGGACAAAAACATGGTCAACACCATTCATTGTTCACTCATGCTACCTCTCTGTTTTCATGTGAAAACATTGTCCGTTACAATTAGATAGTAAACTATTTCTAGAGATAAGCAGTAGAAAATGAAGTAACTAATAGCCAGTTCCATCTTAAGGCATGGGCCCAGTGGGCACGCACTTGTAGGAGGTCCCACGTATCTAGGAGTCTCACTCTTATAGAGGCATCATGCTTTACAATGTGTTAATGAATATTGAAAGGTTTTGACAATTTAATTGGATTTAAATTCCCAATTTCCCAGTTGGTGGGGAGCAGAACACCCACCCCCCTACTGTTTGGCCCAGGTGTGTTGCATTGCTAGGGGCTCCAGTGCATTGCTGTGCCCAGGGCCTCCTATGTTGTTAAGACGGCACCTGCTAATAGCAAGTGACCAACCTAAACATTAAAAAAAAATTAAAAATTTAATTCATTAATAGAAAGTAACTATGAACCGACTTAGTATAAAAATCAACTATTGCATTATTAATATTTTAAAATATATCACAGGATGACCTTGAAACATATTTTAATGGTACAAATTTTTTAATTTTAATATTGTAAAGAGTCATCAAGCGTTGGAACAACTAAAACTTCACAAGGGCTTAAATCGCGGGTTATTAATGTGGTGATAGATTGTTGGATAGTTTTAATTTTTATTTATTAACTTGGCTGGCCAGAAAAGTCAGATTTTCGTTTCATTATTAATTTCAGTGAACTGTGTTATATTACCAATTATCGATCAAATAATGTTAAAACCAAATGAAAGTTAAAAAGTAGTATTTATGGGTTTTTTTATTTGTGAAAATTAAATAAAATCCTAATCATCACAATTTTTTTTGCCAAAGAACAAGTTACGCTTAACAGGCATCAGGTATGAATTTTCTTATATATATATATACATATATACGGTAATTTTAAATACCACGAGCTTGCAGAAACAGTTTTAATTAATGCATATCCTAATATATATATATATTTAAAAAGAGGGCAAACTATAACCAACCATAACGTCATCGAATTTGTTACGATTTTGAAAAAAAGGGGGGTGGGGTATTTTTGGCCAAAATAGTGTGACGTCATCTCGCGATGGCCCCAAACTGGCTATTTTCCTCAATAACAATATCCATACTTAATGTTTTAATTAAAATAATTTATATTTTTACTACTGCACTTAAGAATAGTTTATGTCCCATTTCGTTAATAATAATACTTACTCTGTAATGTTATAAAACTAAAATTCTTCATGCTAATAGTTACTAATTTAGGACGATTCTAAGAGTAAGACGGGTGTAAGTACCAACTACCTATTTTAAAATTATTATTTAGTGCTATCAATATAATTAGATTTTTTCATTTGTATGAATAAATGTACTTAATTATTCAATTATTATTGTAAACTTTTGAATATATTTTTACTAATTTACCAGTGTAATTTTATTTCCTTAAAGATTTATAAAAAAAAAAAAAAGGCTACCTGGATGTATTTAGCCTATACAATTGTAATTATCGTTCTTTACAGGGACCCCCAATCGTCCTTTGCCAAGTGAGATAGAAAATACTACAGTGAAATGATTTCGTTACCTAAAAGCACTGTTGTGCAAGCTATCGTTAAAGCGGTTCCGAGGGGGAACCCAGCATCTGTAGGCCTTCCAACCATTACATCTGTTTCTAAAGTTACAGTTGAACAGCCACCTCTAAGGATTTCAAGTTTTTCTCTTTCTCAATTGATACCGAGAAACTCGATTGCCGTAAGCTCATCCATTGCAGGTGAAGTTTTTATTTAAAAACAAAATAAATGTATAACCCATTTCTCTCATACTCTTATAACACCCTTTATAAAAATCAGTTAGGTTATTGGACCTTTTTAGAAGGAACACCATATTTAACTATTCAAATATAGTTATTATACCTCAAAATCAAAATGTGTATGGGGAAATGGGAGTGGACACAGGAGAATCTAAGTTTTTAATTTTTGGACTTTGGTGCTTTTTCATTAATGAAAATACTATTTGTCATAAAATTTACTATATTATCCGCACCATGACGTTTCCCACGTCACAGGTTATGGCAACCAGGTGGCGGGCGTGTAAAAAACACAGGTCTGCTAAAATCACTAGTGGAAAGGCGTGAGAATGTGCTGAGATAAAATGAAAATGGGGAAAAAACGTTAAGATCTAATGAAGTAATTTCAGCCTGTACGTAAATATTGGGGTGAGGCGGAGCTACTTTATTAACTTTATTGTACCAATCTAGTTATTGGGCAAGAAGTGCCAATGACCTGCGTTGACCAACACACTCACGTAATTTCAGCCAGTATATGCTGCTTCCCCTCAACTAAAACATGTGTGCGGCTTCAGTTACACACTATGGTAAAAAAAAAAAAAATGTAAGAAATGAAGAAAAATAATACAAAATAATTTTAAAATAACGAAAACCCAAATTACAGTTTCATAGAATACACTCTAACACACTTTATTTCTTGTTCCTAAATCCAAAAGTTGTCAGAAAATCAATGCAAACTCATTTTCCAAAATGCCGGAAAATTTAGCCTAACAAACCAATGACATTTTAATTTAAAAGATTTCAATGGTCCAATTAAAGAAAAGTTTACGCTATTAACAACACAAGAATAAATAAAAGGGAGAGAATCCAACATGCACATAAGTCATGGCGAGGGTTGGGGAAATTGAACAAATTGTGATATTTTTCCCCATGTTCACAATATGGGACATACTGACCTACATTCCAACCTACTGTTATGCATTTTTTTGATCAACCTTAATTTTGGAAATTTGTAGGGATATATTAGACATCTTTCCCTAAAAATTTTAAAAGAAATTTAACAAACAAGTCTTTCATATTAAATACTGAAATGCATTATTTATTGATTTATATGTGTGGCAATGCTCATTGATGTAGGTCATGTGCAACGTTCATTATGCTTGTCCCAGTAACCTGCTTTATCATGGTCAAAAGGTCCCTCAGCCCAATTTGACCACACCCCCTCTTTAATGGCATAAGATGCTGATACTTAGGAAATATTCAGTATTACCACTATTTACATCAAAACACAACACTAAAATTTGGCCTACACACATGCCATAACACTAGCTAATTACTAACAATTCTTTAAAACACAATGGAAATTTTCTTCAATAATGTATAAGGGACAACACTTAGAAATTTGTATGGGAAATGGACATCAGCATAATTAAATCAGAGTTTTGAATTTTCTCATGTGAGTGCAATTTTATTAAGACAGGAGACCTTTTGACACATAATTAAGTCTTGACTCTGCCCTCTTGCCATTTATATGTAAGGCCTACATTCCCATTGAGTTGTATGTTCTTTAGACAGATCGATTGTTATTTTGGAAAATTCTATGTCAATATAAGTTATCTGCCCATATAATGATTCTGTCGAAATATACAATTTATGTCTTTCACTTTCATGCTACTTCTTTGTAAGCAATATTTATTGATGCCTCTATGATAAAAATTTCATTGTGGTTGGTCATGAAACATTTTTGCCATGCTCCTCAGATAAAGAAGGGTGGAAGACGCCAGTACTTAGCTTATAAAATACTTAATTATTATTACATTATACATCAATTTATTTGAAAACTTGGGTTTTGTAATAAATTTTAGAAGGTATTTTAATAAGAATAATTTCATTTGAGGTTTAAAAAACCAGTTTAAATTCAATTTACTGACAAAACATCGCAGATAGGTTACAATTTATTTAAAACTGCATATCGTTTTAAAATTACTTTTTAAAATTATAAATTTTAATATAGCATTAATCCTGAAAATGAAAGTAGTATTAAATCATCATTACAACATGAGTTATAGCACATGATACAAACAATGGAATAGGGTAACATGATGTGGAAAAGCGGTCCATGGTAAAAAAAGGAATATTTATTGGTAACTTTGTATGTAATATGTTTTCATTTTAATTAAATAGATTGATAACAGTGTTGATTTTTCTCCCCCAACAACCCAATAAAAAATATTCAAGATCAACAAATGTTTTAAAAAAATGAGAGATCAGAGAGCATACATTTTCTTTTCTTTTTACTAGGCTCCAGCCAGGTTCGATATGCCCATACAGACTTAAAAGTTCCAGATTTCTCAGAATATAGACGTGATCAAGTGAAGAGACCTGATGTTAAATCAGCTGATTCTGGACCTGAGAGGAAACTGACATCTTATTTAGTTGTAGGAGGTGATACATTTTTGAGACAGAATTTTATTTCAGTTTATTTTTTAAAATATTTAAGATAAATAAGTCTTTCTTCAAAACCTTTCAGTTACATCGGAAAACCAAAAATTGTGAGTCTGTCAACTTAGAAAAGTGTACTATAATAATGCACCTATTTGATTTATTTTCTATGCAGCTGGTGCGGTCACTTGTGTCTATGGTGCCAAAGCCATAGTTCGTGCGCTGGTTTCTAATCTTGGGTTTTCCGCTGATGCGTTGGCCATATCCAAAGTTGAAATCAAGCTTTCAGACATACCAGAAGGTCGAAATGTAACAATAACATGGAGAGGCAAACCTTTATTTGTCAAGCACAGAACAGATGAAGAGATCGCTAATGAGGCTTCTGTGGATTTATCCCAACTAAGAGATCCTCAATTAGACACAGAAAGAGTCCAAAACCCAAAATTTCTTATCCTTGTGGGAGTCTGCACACATTTAGGTATGAAATTTTCTGATGGACAGTTTTAATAAAAAATGTTAAAGAAAATGTTAAAAAAAGTATACTCTAGGTAAAACAACTAAATTTGTGTCTTTCTTATTACAGGCTGTGTGCCCATTGCTGATGCAGGGGACTTTGCTGGGGGCTACTTCTGTCCATGCCATGGTTCTCACTATGATGGCTCCGGGAGGATCAGGAAAGGTCCTGCTCCACTCAACCTAGAAGTTCCCAAATATGAATTCATTGATGATACCACTGTAGTTGTAGGTTGATATTAAATAAAGATATTTATATTAAAAGGATAAAATAAAATGCAGATGTGCTTAAATTGTCTAATGACAATGCTGGAAGTTGTTTTTTTTAAAAGTATTAGTTGTAAAACATTTTAAAGCTATTATTGGCTTTTAATGAGTTAAATTAAGAATTGCAAAGTATAAATTAATATTTAGATATAGACTTTCAACTTGTAATTGTGTATTATTTTAAAAGATAGCTGCAGGATTTCAACTTGTTTAAAAATGTACCTTGACAAAAAATATTGGCTTTCATTTAAATTCATAGTGCATGAAATGAAACCAGAATTAAATAAGAACTTAAATTTTGGCTTTTTAAGATTACTTATTTATTATTTATATGTTCTGTGAACCAAGTTTTATTAAAAAAACATTTTGCCTTCAATATTTGGTGTAAATTTTGTGATGAAATGTTGAATGCTATATATTTTCCATCACGTTTAGTTAAGTTTTGTCTTGACTTAAACTTAAGGCCATACAAAAAGCCCTGTGCCGTTCAGAAATAAAAAAAACCTCCTCGTTACGATCAATCACAGTGGACTTACTTTTCCTCTCTTCCGTCCCAATTTTCTGTATTACATCGCACACCTACTTATGTTTTGTCAGATTCTTTTTGCTTTTTTATTAGATACTACATTGCAGTCAAGTTTATTTTAATTTTATATTGTTGTTTGTTTGCTGAAGAAGGCCTCTTGCAAAACCATTTGTTTGGTTGCATCTTATTTTTTTCAAGGTTTCCCATACCTTGTTTCGTTCATTTCCTTGTAATTTTTAAGCAACATTAAAAAAAAAGTTACAAAAAAGAATATTCAAGAATACAAACATTTATTGAATAAGTTGATGGATATAATACAATGTTAAGGACTGGTGTATGTGAATTAGAATTTGTCAACTAGGGCAAGGATTCTATCTTGTTCAGCTTCTTTAGCTATGGGATCTTTGGCATCTCCAATGTTTCCAGCATATTCTGAAAAGGAAAAAAAAACGCAGATTGATATTGGCATGTTACTAAACCGGTACATCAGTAATATTATTAGAGGTAACCTGAGCTTAAAAAACTACTGTAATTAAAAAAATTAATTTGTTTTTTTAAAGTGTGCATTTGGTAGGTCAAAATGGTGGACATCACGTCTTGCCTGGTATGTAGCTGCATCTAATACTAACATAAATGTCAGAGAAAATTGCCTTTACTTTTACAATATAACAACCAAAATGAAAAACTGGATATGAAGCTCAAAATTAAATAATTGCCTGGAATCAAAGCATTTAAACCCAGCTAAACTAAATGGATCTATTTTTAAAAAATAACTGCTATTCGCCAGAAGTGTTAATTTTTCTTACCTCTCATAATACCTCTAATTACTTTTACAGAACCACCTCGCATATTCAGTATCTGCATTACTCTCGCACGAATCTGAAATGTGATAAAATTGTGAAACAACTATGGTACGCAAATTGGAAAAAATAACATTAACATGCTCATTTATTACAGCATTAAACAAAATTAGAGTTTTAATTAATACATGTTGGAGAAAATTAGGTTTCCTCAATCGTTAATAAATTTTATTGGAGGTCCTGTCAATGAAGCCTCACATCAGACAAGATGTATATGTGCTGTGTGAGACAAACGGCATGGCTCAGCAGTATTGAATTTTTGTTAAAATTGGACAACAAAATAATCTTCTTCTTTGCCGTTTGTTGCGACAGCAAAAGAATGGCCCTAACGTGTAAGACGTGCTTCTGCAAGTTAATTTTTAAGTAACTACTTGAAGTTGTCATAATTTATTTAATTTTTTTTACCGATTGAGCGCCACTGGCACATGCCTCTAACATGATGTAATCTATAAGTTGAAGTGTAAACAATCCAGAGTCCAAACGTCTCAGGTAAAATTCATCCTCCATGTCTTCATCGAAATTGTCACCGCTTTGTTTCAATCTCTAAAAAGAAAAATGGATCAACAGATATTTATTTTAAAAAATACTAACTTTTAAAATGATCTAATATTGATTTTAACTATTAATTACTTAATAATGATACAGTAACAGATAAATGGAAGCTCAAGATGTACAATTTGAAATGCTTAAACTTAAATGCAATTAACACCATGTTCATGTTTTGTATTTGGCAGAATGTAAACATATATGTAGTTGTGCATTTTGTTACATGCGTGTGTATCATCGATAACAAAGCAATGTACTGGTGTAAAAATAGTTTATAAAAAAATTCATTTTCATCCAAATCCAATGAGTACGAGTATAGCATATACCCATTTTCTGTAAATATGCAGGATGGTATGAACATTGTATCCTAATTTATTTGTTGGCCTCATCTATAAATCATATCTTATAATCCTTGTTCTACATCTGCTATGGGACTATATATATTCTTCATTATTTTTTTTAATTTAAAGAAATACTTAAGTCACACTCACAATTATCAACATTGTATAGGATGTATGACAGGTGAGCAAGAATTTCACAAAAATGTTTACTCAACATTCAAAGGTTGCATTTAGACCTAAAGACACCTTGTGAGATTATTATTAATATTGGTATTGTTCCATTGTCCTGGCAGCCACTGAAGTATAATATTAATGAGTGCCTCAACACCATCCCTAGCCCAAACATATGATCCTGTTGAACTGTTCATTTAATTATTGGGGTATACTTAACTGATAAAGATTGAATTATTCTAGATTATTTGGGTATAACTGATAAAGATTGAATTCTAAATTTTGCTAAATAAAGCAATGAAAAGTGTTAGTACATTACATTATAATTATATGCAATTAAAAAAAATGCAATAGAAAGATAATAGAATCCATCACTATTAAAACTGAAAGACAGAAATAAATATTTGAAATATCAAATATGGTAAATTTACCCAGTGCCGTCTTAAGGCATGGGCACAGTGGGCACTTGCCCAGGGCCACGCGCTTCTGGGGGGCCCCCTTGCTTCTAGGAGACTCACTCTTATGAAGGCATTATGTTGCAAATATATATAATGAATATTGAGAAGTTTCGGCAATTAAATTTGAATTAAAAATCAGTGGACAGCACGTTTCCCAATTTTAACCCACGATTTATCGCCACGTTCCAAAATTAATAATATAAATGCAAATCACAAGTTGGATACTTTTTAAACTTTAAAAGGGGAATAACTCTCGTCAACAAGTTTTACTTCTCCATGATATGAATCGAAAATAATAAAGTTAGAGCATTTGTTTACAATCAAGTTAGACAAAAATGTTGGCGGTAATAACCCTAAATTAGTGGATAAAAATCTATCCTTGCACCAGTTAAAGTACTACTGACTTTAATTAGCATTATGTAAGGAATATGTCGGTCACCAATGAATTAAAAAAAAAACAAAAAAAACCCACAAATAACTTTATAGTTTTTAAACAGAAAAATATTTTGTATCCAGTGTCTGAAAAACATATTTAGATGACAGTCACTGTAGGTCTGAGCTGTATGCATAAATATATAGGCCATTAGACATAATTGTGTTCAAAGTTTAAAGCTCAAAATCATTTTCATCTTACACACCGAGTAGCTCAAACACAGAGATCGATTTTATCATGGCTATTGATCATTTCCCGATGTTTGTTTTTAGCGGGGCAAAAGTCACTCTGAAGGGATAGACCAATCCATTTTAAACGGATTGCTGCTATTACTAAAGAAATACTTGTAAACAATGAATACATTTCTAGGTGTTTAACCCCTTAAGCGGGAATAAAAAAAAATAGTTTTATAATTGGAGCACAGAAGATAAAAAGAGCTGAGGAGACAAGGAAAACAGGTAAACTTGCAAAATTAACATCTTGGTTAAATCCAATCGAAATATCAGTGACTAATACTGCTCCTCAAAATAAAGTAGCGCCATCTACATCCTCTATTGGATCCAGCCATCTAGTTCCAGACAATTCCATTACCTATTACCTCTGCTGGGGAAATTCTAAAAAACTGAAACACACAAAGCTGTGTCAGAAAACGAGAGTGATTCACCACACAGATCCCGGGCTATGGAATATTAAGATTACTGGATTCGCCGTGAGCCATCATTTTGTCAGAATCATGACTGCAACCTTTTAAACTCGGGCAGAGCTGGAGAAGAAAGAACTAAGACAAGGTATTTATCCTGCCTTGAAGCCCAATTCCCCATACCCTGTTGTACACTCAGAATTCATGGAGATAATTAACAACCATGGTCTGGAACAGCTGGTTAAAGAACCCACGAGGGGGGAAAACACTCTTGACCTACCCCTCACCAATTGTCCACATCGTGTCCCAAAAGTGCACTGGAAATGTTCCAGCAGACTGGAGAACAGCGCATGTCACTCCAATCTACAAGAAAGGGGAGCATTCCGACCCTGCCAACTATCGTCCGATACCCCTCAACAGCGTGGTCTGCAAACTGTTAGAGCACATAATCGTAAGCACAGTCATGAGCATCTTGAAAGCCAAAATATACTCAATGACTGTCAACATGGCTTCTGAGTCAATAGATCATGTGAGACCCAGCTTCTTGAATTTGTAGAAGACCTGATGACCAATCTGGAGAACGACAAGCAGACTGACGTGCTGGTAATGGACTTCGCAAAGGCATTTGACTGTGTGAATCATAGTTTGCTTCTGCACAAACTCCAGAGATATGGGATCCAAGGCACCACTAAAACATGGATCTCTAGCTTCCTCAGCCACCGATGCCAAGCAGTAGTGGTGGACGGTACAAGCTCCTCCTTTGTCGATGTGAAGTCAGGGGTCCCTCAGGGATCAGTGCTGGCCCCTGTTTGTTCCTAGCATACATTAATGACCTACCCGAGAAACTGACATCACAAGCAAGACTGTTCGCAGATGACACAGCGGTGTATAGGACGATCGCCAACAGATCTGACCAGGACCAGGTACAACAGGATCTCAATCTGTTAGCTGAGTGGGAGATGAGCTGGGACATGGAATTTCACCCTGCCAAGTGCCAGACATTATCAGTCTCTAGAAGTTGTACTCCTCTATACTACCAATACGAACTACACGGCCATATACTTGAGCAAATTTCCTCCGTAAAGTACCTGGGTGTTACCATTCAAAGAGAGGTCCGCTGGGACGAGCATATTAACAATGTATGTAACCAAGCAAACAAGACCCTAGGGTTCTTAAGGCGAAATCTAAAGATTGGCAACTCCTGTGTGAAAGAAAGAGCATATAAAGCCTTTATCCGTCCGATTTTAGATTATGCATCTTCAGTCTGGGACCCATTTACCCAGAAGAGCATTGACAGGTTGGAGGCGGTCCAGCGACGAGCAGCACGCTTTGTCCTAAACCGCTACAGGAATACCTCTAGTGTTGGCAGCATGCTGGAAACACTAGGCTGGTCACCATTGGAGGAACGACGACGACAATCCAGGCTCTCCATGATGTACAAGATAAATAATGGGCTGGTCCACTGTTCCAGTATTAAACAGAAACTCGTCCCTCTCCCCCATAGACAACGATGAGGTCATGACAGGCAATTCAGGCTCATACCAGCAAGAAGCCAGTATAGGAGCTGCTCATTCCTGCCCAAGAAAATCAGGGACTGGAACAATCTTTCAAAAGGAATGGTTGAGGCGACAACACTAGACACATTTGTGTCTATAGCCTCAAGCCTTCAAACCCCTAGTGCATGATTCCCTCACAAAGTGGCACTGGAAATCAGTGAAATTTCCTCATCAACACCAGCAACAGAAACATTGCAAATCCCATCTACATGCATAGGAGCCAAAATGATCAATAAATTGATCGTGGGCCCTTAAGATAT